CTATTCCGCTTCTTTGTAATAATATCACTACCATTACTAAATACTCGTTCCGATGCTGCAGATGTTGCTGGAATAGCTAGATGATCACGAGCAATACGGGCAATAACTGGATATTGGTATTGCTTTGCGCACCAATATTTGAGAATATCAGTATGCTCACCGGGCCGTGGTTCAAGCATCCAGCGCCTCCATTCTGGCTCTTGAAAAGCCAAGCCTTCTGACGCAAATAGATCTTCGTCAGAATCAGGTTCTTGATCTATTGTAGCAGTAGCACCTATTGCTTCTGCAAGAGCTGTTTCGTGAGTAATTCGCTCCGTATCAAGGTGATACTCTCGCTTTTGGTACGTTCTACAAACGTCTTCGAACTGCGCTCTTGCTCGTAATCTTCGTGTATCGTCTATAGCATTTGGATATATCTTCTTAAATACTGTATGATTCATTCGTGGGTCGCAAATTGTAGCAACAGCTGAGTGCTTACATTGCCGATTCGTTGTAAGAGTATAATACTCATTAAGCTTTTGAAGCGCAGCTCCACAAGCTACTCCGATCGTAGAGCTTCTACCAAGCTCTTCTTGTAGTAATGTGACCTTATTTATCATCTTTAAGTAAAGAGGAATTGTAAAGTTGAGCGTTGGATATGAATCGCTTTGTAGCCGTCTTGACGGCTTTAAGAATACTAAGAATAATCGTTCAAGAGCTTCGATAATAGCCCAATCGTTGCTTGTTAACGCAATATCCTTCATACTGATATCAAGCTTCTGCGTAGAGCATACTGCAGTAATTGGTATTCGAAGCTTTATAGCTGTTTCAAGCATATAGTACGTTGAATTCCAGCGTATAGGCATATCAAGTGATAGCTGGCGTGGCTTCTGGCCTGCAGCTTGTATCTGCTTCTGTAAAGCATCCTTCCATGCTCTTCGGTTTCGAAAGACATAAATATGCCTTCGGAGCTTCTCAAGCGTAGCTGATACTTCAGTAGAAGAGTTATCAATACGCTGCGGAATCCGGGCAAGCCCTTGCTGACACCAGTACGCTTCTGTTTCTGTATCCGGGCTAGCTTTCAAGCTCTTTAGAGTAGCTTGAACTGCAAGATTGATAATATGAGCAATACACCGAACGTCCCCTTCCTTTACAGTAAACGTCCATGGCTGTTGAATAGTCGTCTGCTGCTTACTGGCTATTTTCTCATATTCTGAAAGCATCACAGTATTCGCTGAGGCATTATCCCGCGTACAAGTAAATATAGCACCTGTAATTTCGAAGCTATCTGTTACTGCAGCTAACTCTTTGAGCGAGATATTCGCCGCTATGAATTGGCTCTTGAAGGTGGATTACATCAAGTAATACGCACCGGTGCTGCCACTTCTCATTAATCCAATGGCCTGTGACAGCAGCGTACTCTGTATAGTTCCGTGCAGTCCATGCATCTGTTGTAATAGATATCCGGCCGCCATAGGTAATATGAGCCTGGAGTTCTAATTGTAGCAATCCTCGGTGATATGAGAATTGCCGCTGTAGCTCTCGGTGTAGTGTTCGCGACGATATCGATAGAGTACTTGGGCTTAAGAACTGTACTAATTGATGGAACGAATAGCTCTCAATAAGTCGTAAGGAGAGGTTATTTGATACAACGAATGAGAGTAATAACTCTCGGTATTTCGCTCTACTATTTGATGCTTGAGCTTGAGCGGGCTGGACTTGCGGGTTCCGCGGCCGTGGCTCAAAAAATGACGATGCACTACTTGATGGGCTTGACGGCGTAATTGTATGACCTTTCATTGTATATGCTACTGTTGGATGCTTCTGCGTATAGTGCTTCCAAAGATTACCGGTTGAAGTCTGACTTAATAGCTGCGGAGTAGTGTTACGACGGAACAAGAAGGCTGGCCAACTACAGGACAGGAAGGAGGGAGGTCGCATGAGACCGGCCCTGGTACCTGGAGGGGCAGCGGGGAATAGTAGTTCCGAAAGTATCACGTGACGGACTCGCAGGATGATGAGAAGAGTCCTAAGAGTCCAGGACTCCGAGGACTCGAGTGAGTTCCCAGGAGTCCACTAGGCACGTGATGGACTCGCAGGATGATGAGAAGAGTCCTAAGAGTCCAGGACTCCGAGGACTCGAGTGAGTTCCCAAGAGTCCACTAGGCACGACGCCACTATATAAGTAGATAGTATTTCCTTAGATAGGAGCTTCGTGCTCAACTCAATACAGTATTTGTTATATACTAGTAACGTGTTACTTGAAGCCTTTGTGTCTGATCCCCTGCCTCCTCTGATAAGTAAACCCTTACGCAAGAGAACCTCTGTGTCTTCTATCGTTTAGAAGTCAGCGTTACAAGTAGGTGAATATCCGCAGCCTGGTTGTAAGCAAGTTACTTTGACTGTAGGTGGGTTACTATCAAGTATCAATCGCGAATATAATAGCTTCGTAAATAGTACCGACGACGTTGGTGGCAGCATTCGTCCTGGAGGCTGAAGCCGGAGCGGTGTAGGATTAATATCCTGTTGAATATGAATAGGGGGCGGCAGCATTGGCAGACTTGGCTCATTATGAGTATCATAGCTATTATAGCCCTCAGGCTCCGTTGGTATATCTGATAACGACGAGTCGCTCATTCTGAGGATAATTATCACTTTATACAGCATCAATATAGATCTCACGACGTTGGAAAAAAGAGGTCTTGGCTGCGCTTGGCTATTCTTGGCATGTATCCGGATATATACTCGAGAGTATCCGGATACGCCGGATACTCCTAAAATATCGCCGGGTAGGTATATACTCGAGGATATACCCGGATACCATGGGTATATTGGTATCCGTGCCGAACACTGCTGTAAATAGGATAAAGTAATTCACATTTGTCCTAGAAGATTATGATTTGTATATGACATGTGTATGTTCGTACATAAGAAACGATATCGTATTTGAATTACTATGGAATAGTTTCAGAACAATCCTGTCATAATGACGATACTATTGTACAGCTCTTTCCATACTCTCTTATAGAGCACTAAGTTTATTAGCTCAGTTTTGAAGGATATTTGGTGCCATGGATATCGCTTAAGAGGCCTATTACAGTGTTGAATACTGTTACGGTGGAGATATTATACTAGGCAACTAGTCCTGGACTGCTTTAGCGAGCATCATATGGCCGACAAATCATCCATGTAAAATTAGGCCAGCACCCTATTAAAGAGTGCCACAACCGTCTAAAAATGGGCCGTCGCCCGTAAGGTACTGTATGTAATCATGTTATGTTCTCCTAGCTGAAACCCTCTAGTGTGTCTTTGTGAATAGCATCCGTTACTATCTGACAGATCTCCACAACCATAGCGGCATAATGACATCTCCCCGCCCCTCCTCGTGTAGAATTCCCCAATACGCTTCCGCTGCAACCAAACCCCTTTTCCCCCCCGCCTCCCGCTCTCGTTCTCTACGCAGAGAACCGCGCGCCACCTATCCCGTCCCGTCGCGCCCATCCTCCTCCCCGTCCTCCTCCCTCCCCCATACCCCTAGAACCCCTTCTCCATCCGGCATCAGCTCTTTAGTCCCTCTCAGCGGGCTCACTCGCTAATATACACCCTTATCCGTCTTAGCGTGGGGCGTCTACGTTGGGTTTGTGCATCCAACTCAGCCTCGCCTCACCGCAGCCGCAGCCGTACGGTACAACACCCAGGGATCGGCTCCAAGCGGGCGCATGAACCGCATCCATGCACGCCCCCTCCCCCTCCCCGCTCCGCGTGAATGCCCTGCTTAGGCAGGGATGGTGGAGCCAGACAGCCCGCCAAGGACGCGCCAAGATGAGCTAAGCATAAGCTAGGAGGGTGTGGAAGGCAGACGTGAGAGGAGGGAGTATTAAACAATGGCGCTAGTAGGGGTGGGGTGGGGTGGGGTGGGGGGAAGAGCTGTGGAAGGGAAGCGAGAGGGATTGGGGCACCCCCCACCCCTGGCGCCACACGTCGGTAAAAAGCCTGACGTCCCCTCTCGCTAGGCTGTTTTCGCGACAGCCGCACGTCAGTCTGCCTAGGCTAGGCCGTTTTTGTGGGTTTGTGATCGCGCTTGCTGGTGTGGTGGATATGGATGTGCGAAGATAGTACATACTCGTACAGATATGCGGAATGCACGGCCTACTTACTTGGTTTTCTTATGTCAGTTGATGGCGGAATGTCGCTTGGTCCTCCTCTATTTCCTCTATTTCCTCTCTCCTCCCTCTACTCCCCCACCCCTGCTAACCCTGCTAACCCTGCTAACCCTGCTAACCCTGCTAACCCGACCAACCCCCCTCCCCCCTCCCCCCCTCCCCTCCTCCCCTCCTCCCCTCCTCCCCTCCTCCCCTCCTCCCCTCCTCCCCTCCTCCCCTCCTCCTCCTCCCTCCTCCCCTCCTCCCCTCCACCTATTACTTACTCCTCCTCCACCATCTTCAAATCTCCCCCCCTCACAGCTCCCGCCTATTGCTCCGCCACGGCTTTTTTTATACTCCTTCTCCCCCATACAGTCACATCAAGTCACCTAGCTACGCCCTACCTGTGCTTCTTCGAAACAATGATCCAATTTTAGGATCACATCTCGCGGAACTGAGAACATGGGAACCTAGGACAAAACGTCCCATCACCATCTGGCCTCTCGATTCTGAATCCTGATATAAAGATGCGCCCCAGACGCCATCGAAGCTCCTTTCCTCTTCCATCCTCATCATCATCTTCTTCACAGTCCATCTTCACTTCTCATCTTTATCTTCACATTCACCACCATCGCTAGCACCCATCACCGACACAGCACACCAGCACATCTCCAATCCAAGCTCTGCTCCACTCGTTACCTCACCACCACCTGCGAGGCGCTGACGCCTCCAACCCAGAACCCACAAACACACCCGGGCCTCACCAGCACCACCACCCGCACCACAGGCCAACAGATGTCCACTCTCCCCACGCCGCCCTCGCACGCCACACCAACGCCCACCTCGCCCACCTCGCCCACCTCGCCCACCTCGCCCACCTCGCCCACCTCGCCCACCTCGCCCACCTCGCCCACCTCGCCCACCTCGCCCACCTCGCCCACCTCGCCGGGTCACCAGCACCAGCCGCCACTTATCGTCGTCAAGTCGCGGACCTGTTCGCCGCCGTCGCCGTCCGAGTCCTCTTCCTTGTCGGGATCCAGCACCGAGACGGAAATGTCTGATCGTACAGAGAAGCGTGAAGGGGGCTCGAGCGGGAAGAGCGGGAGCTCGAAGGGGAATTCCAAGTCGGGGAGTGTGAAGACGGGGGGGAAGAAGGCTCAGAAGGATGATTGGAGTGGGGTGAATGAGCCGGATGAGAGGAGGAGGATTCAGAATCGGTTGGCGCAGAGGAAGTTTCGTATGTCCCCATATTTCTTTACATTTTATCTTTGTAGGGGAGAATGACACTAACAATTACTTTCCCACAGGCGAAAAAGCAAAAGACCAAAAAGAATCGCGCGACCGCGACGCAGAGAACCAACTCCACGCGGGCTACTCCTACACCAGCCCCGACCCTGACGACCTCGGTCTCGAGTCCGAGCTCTCCGGCCTGCCCTGGGGCGGACCGAGCATGCGCCATATCGTCGAGCGGGGCAAGGCGACGCAGGGAGGCTCGAGGCAGGGGAGTCGCGATTATAGTCTCTATGAGTATGAGACTGGGAGGGGGGTGAGCGGGAATAGTCGTGGGAGCGATTCGAGATAGACCGTCTTTTGGGGGAGGGATTGGGAAGGATTATGGGGTGGAATTGACACTCGCTTTTGAAAGAGGTGGACGAGATGGGAGGGGGCGCTTTCCCATATGAGATAGGGACATTCGCTAGCGAATTTCGCGAAGGAGATACGGGCGAGACGCTTGGAGGGAATACACTCGCTAGCCAGGACTCCAAGGGAACAGATTGGATATCAGACCTGGGAGGAGGATATACAGGCACAGAGACTGAAAGAGAGATAGAGACAGAGAAGAGAGACAGAGACCGAGAAGAGAGACCCAGACAGACAGACACCAACCGCGCCGCCGGGCGCGTGTACTAATACACCCACGACGCACCGCAAATGACTGACAACGACGCAACACGAGTTTCCTTGACACTATCGTTAATTTTTACATTATTTTTGTTATCTTTATCTATCGAGTCGGATTGGAGCAGAACCAGTTAACACAGGGCACCTAGAGATAGCTTCCCTGTTTCGATTCGATACATGTCGAATAACTGCAGGATTACCGTTTTTTTACTTCTTTTTGATGAAGGGGAGGAAGGGAGAAATGTATGATTTGGTGATGGATGGAAGGGATTGGGAATTTGGGAATAGATTTTTTTTTATATTTTTATTTTCATTTAAGTAGCTTTTAGCCGTTTATCTTTTATATAGACTTCCTTACTTAGCAATCAAACCATCTTCACTTCACTCCATAGCTATTCTATTTACTTACTTTGCACATCAACGGAGGGGGAAGAGAGTGGTATATCGAGGGCGGGCTGTGGGCGACGGACGATGATGCGAATCCCCACCCTCTTCCCATCCCCTCCATCCCCCCCAAAATACGACCAAAACCCCTCCTCCCTCCCTCACCACCCCATGCGCATTCTCATCCGGCGTCTCCGAACCGCGACACCCCATCACCCCCCCACCCCCCAAAAATAGCAGCTGAAATAAGTCCCTCCACGTACGCGTGCTGCCTACACATCCGTACCCCCCCTCGCTGTGCAGGGGTTATCAGTTGTCCGTTGTCCGTTGGCCGTCGTCGCCCGTCGGCGCGGAGGAACCTATGTCCCGGCTCTGGCTGCGAGAAGTCCGGTGGGTAGTGGCCTGTTAAGCGAGGGATTCGGAGCTGGCGGGTGTGAATTGGTGTGAGGGGGGGAAAAGTTGGTGGGGGAAAAAAAAAAAAAAAAAAAGATAAAAAGATAAAAAGATAAAAAGATAAAAAGATAAAAAGATAAAAAGATAAAAAGATAAAAAGATAAAAAGATAAAAAGATAAAAAGATAAAAAGATAAACGACCCTCATCGGACTCGAACCGACAACCTCAGTCTTAGGAGGACCACGCGCTACCATTGCGCCAAAGGGCCTGTTTTGATGTGAGGTATGGGTGGAGATGGGTATTTATGCGTGTATTGCTGTACGAGTTTGCCAACATTTTGCGTGTTTGAGGGCGTCTTAAGATGTGAAGAAGCAAGTACTTTTGACACCTTGCGTGCAGTTACAAAATACTTATTCCTGGGGATTCATCCGTACGATCAGTTTATAGCTGGTTTTATAGAGTGTAGAATGGGACTTGGCCTTCGGAAATCCCTCGCTGAGTTTGGGGGGAGGATGAGGGGAGGGGAGGAGGTGAGTGCGATGCGGGGAGGGGCAGGTACATTTTAAGGGGGGGAACTCTGGCTGAATTTGCCCTCGTTATCAACCCGACAGAACCGCAAAACCACCCCAACAGAGGCAATGCCGTACACGATGGCGTTAGTCTTGCCCTGCTCACGCCTAGCCGCTGACAATCACATTGTACACATAGTGCACGGGGGTTCAGCTCAGCCCCGAACTAAATATTAATGATATCTGCGTTGTGTGGATTCTTTCCAGAGAAAGATAGAACATCGTTGGCTTTTGAACTGGCGGTGTTGCATTACGTATTCAAACCACGTCGAATATATCAGTAAATCTACCACTCCACACTCGGCAGATCATCCTCAAGAGGCTTCTCCCCCTCCCCCTGAATCCTCAGCGCCACCCCATCAGCCTCCGCCCACACACGCAAAATATTCCCACCCACAACCTTCGCCACATCCGCATCACTCACCCCCCTCCTCAGCAACTCCCCCACCAAATCGGGAAACTTCGTCACATCCTCCAACCCCCTCGGCACTCCCAATCCCATCAAAATCACTCCCAATCCCCACATGCTCAAACCCAATCAACTCCCCAATATACACCACATGATCCGCCACCCGTCCCAGCATCGACCCCGCCTCGTCGAAATCAGGAAGCCCACTCTCATTCGGCGGGTTCGCAGCGACGCAGCTCACGAAGTCGGGCATGAAATTCACCATCACCACGCTCCCCTTCGCTTTGACGAGATGCAACACCTTGTCCGGGACGTTGCGCGTGTGCGGACAGAGCGCGTAGGCGCAGCTGTGGCTGAAAATAGGGGGTGCGGCGCTGCGTATGAGTCAGGATCTTGCTCGCTCTTTCCTCAATGGTAGGCGGCTGCCCCCAAAATGGCCATCCAAAGGCGGCAGTGGGCTTGGAAGATAACAGTACAGATGCAGTCAAAAGGAGGGCTGCATATGCAATTATACATTTTGACCTTCGCCATGGTGAGCCCCCATCGACGACGACCAACTGTTGCGGCTGGTCTTTACCATAGGACTCTACCTTGGGCAGAAGAGGCCTAGACTCCATCATGTAAAAAGGCTTATTTGCAATATAATATCGGGATATGACGATTTCCCAGTAGCTCTCACGTCAGATCCTGATTCGTAGTTACAGTCACCTATTTCTCTACGGTCTTACAAGTCACGTGCAACATCTGATCTTTTGTATGCCTGAAACTTGGGAAAAGGAATCCACGACTCTAAACTTGGACCCTGCAATTCCCCAACCTTGGAGCAGTGGCAGCCTAGACCCAAAAGGTACATTAGCAAACGTGGACAACTCGTGCTGACGCGGGCCCTGAACCAGACTATAAACAACAAAACTGAATCGCGCAGAACCTGGCAGACGTCGCAAATCAATCGGCCGGCTTGAGGACAATCTCCCAAACTGTCGCTGGTGTTATTGCAGTTCTTGGTTCTGTCTGTTGTAACGATACGGCTGAGCGAAGCTTCACGAAACACAGCCCCATCTGAGGCCCTCATAGAGCTGCCAGCTTGTTGATCTTTCGCCCGTCACTCCTTTTTTGCTAAAAACCACCTCTCTTGTACATACCGACCTCAGTTCAGAGCGACGCGCGTCGCTTCAATCGACTTCACGAGTAGTCGCGATCTCTCACGTGGGCAAGATGCCCGGTTTCGCAGATTCCTTCTGGTCCTCCGACTATGCTGGAGGCAAGTATTCCAGTATCGTTATGGAATAAATTGCTAACTCAATGGATCAGGACTGGGAGTTCTGTTTGGGAAGCTTCAGCAGGGTGTCCTAGAAAACCAGCAAGTCCTAACGATTGCACGAATGCGAGCCGAAGCCGAAGACCTCTACGGAATGCGTTTGGGCGATATCGGGCCAGCGACTGACAAGATGACTGGCGGCTTCACGAGGGATGACGGCGCAAGTCTCAAAAAGGCATACGATGGAGTCCGCAGTGAAATGGAGGAGGCGTCGAAAAACCACCGAAGGATAGCTTTGAGTATACGCGAGCTTGTCGTGAACCCGTTCAGCCGCTGGTGCGACGCCCACGAGAATCGGGTGCAGTCTTCGCAAGACGATCTGCAATCACGGATCAAGTCCCACGACAAACAGGCCGAGTCGGTTAGGAAGCTGCGAAGCAATTACTTCAACAAGTGTCGTCTTGTGGAGGACATTGAGGAGGAGAACAAGCTTGCGTTCCAAGACCCATCGGGCCCCGAGGGGAGCCCCAAAGGAAAACAGAATATACCCGAGATCAAGGTGGAGGAGAATGATGAGGATGACGAGCCTCTGGAAATCGGAGATGAGATCTACCAGCCCGAGCAGGTTAAGAAGATGCTAGAGCATGCCTTAAACACCGTGGCGCTCGGAGACACCAAGGTGCCAATCCTTGGCACATATCAAAACACTACATCCGGTGCTGGTATTGTGGAATATCTGCAAAAGCACCTGGGTGCCACCACCATCAGCTATGCTGAGCGTGTTGGCCAGGATCTTGTGGACCACGGTTTCTTGCGCCTGATTGGCAACGTCGGAAACACTTTTGCCAACAGCAGCAAGATGTTCTACCAATGGCGCCCACGGGCTTTCCAGTACGCCGGCGTACCTGAGAAGAAGCAGCCCCTGAACCGAACATTTTCCCTGGCTCCCAACTCCGACTTTGCGGAGTCGCCGGTGGTTGGAGCTGTTGGAGAATACCTTTCCGGATGGAGCTTGGTTAACCAACATCCAAATGAGACCCCGGCTCAGCGTCTCCGAAGAGAAGCTGCTGAGGCGGATGAGAGATACAAGGCGTCTGTGCGAAAGTTGGATCTGCTTAGATGCCAGCTCGAGGAGGCTATTATCGACCACCTCAAGTTTATGGAGCGTTGTGAGCTTGACCGCCTAAAAGCTATCAAGTCGGTTGTTCTTGACTTTTCTGGCGCAATCAGCAATGCCATCCCAAGTCTTCAGTCAACCGTCGACAAGATGATGCTCTACCAAGAGACCGTTCAGCCACTGGGAGATCTCCGTTATCTCCTGGAGAACTACCGCACTGGTGGCTTCGCACCCAAAGTCCAGATCTACGACAACTATTACAACTCTGCCGATGAGCAAACTTTCGGTGTTGACTTGGAGGCTCGCGCCCGTGCTGATAAGAAGCGCGTTCCGAATGCCATCACCTCCATCCTCACATTCTTGGACAACCACTATCCGGACTTGGAAGGTGACGAGGCTAGACGAGGCATCTGGCTTGTAGATGTTCCGTTGCAAATCACTCATCGCCTTAGAGACGAGATCAATAACGCCAAGCCGGTACCAATGGAGACACTCCAGCGCTATGATATACCCGTGGTAGCAAGCGTACTCAAGCTGTACTTGCTAGAACTTCCCGGTAAGTAAAACTGAATTCTCGATAGTAGACTATTACTGACACCTCTTCAGACTCCCTGGTCTCTTCCCACGTTTACGAGATTGTTAAAACCATCTACAACACCCCCGCCTCAGAGTCGACCGACTCGGCTCGTGTATCTGTACTCCAAAACACTCTCATCCAGCTTCGCCTCTCCAACATCGCAACCCTCGACGCGCTCATGACCCACTTCACTCGACTAATCGAGCTAACCTCGGCCGACGAAGTCTACACCGCCGCCCTCGCCCAAACGCTCGCCCCATGCATCCTCCGCCCCCGCGCAGAGAACTCCCTGACACTAGAGGAGAAGCACTCCTACCGCCTCATCCGCGACCTCTTCGTGCACAAGGGCCGGATCTTCAGCGAACTCAAGCGCGCCAGCTCGCTCTCCCACAGCGCGGATAACGCCAACAACCGCCCGAGAGCGATTAGCACCGACGAGAGCAACCGCAAGGCCAACATGGAGGCTAGGACTCGCGCTATTCTCGCGGCGGGGGGGTCGAGGAGCAGAGCCACTAGCCCGGCGCCGAGCCCGCGTGGACACAGGAGGGATAGGAGTAGTGGGGGGCCGGAGACGAGGTTCCCCATCCAGACGTCGCCGACTTTGACGTCGGAGACGCGTAACTCGAGGGGCTCGCTTGGAAGCACTGTGAACAGGACTAGCTTGGATATTCCGGGGTCGATCGATTCCATCTCCACTAAACCGGATAGCCACTCTGCGTCCAGCGCGCTGCAGCAGGCCACAAATGGAGTGAGCGGTTTCAATCCATTCGGTGCTGGAGCTGGGGATGCTGGTGCTGATGAGGGTGGGGTGGAGAAGAGGAATAGCCTTGGGAGACCTAGGCCCCCGGTAGTTGGGAGGCTGGCGACGGCGCGGAAGCCGCCGGCGTCGAGTGCGTTGAGTGTGGGTGGTGATGGTAAGCTTGGGCAGCAGGAGGTGCGGCCGCAGGGCGTTAGCCTCACTGATAAGGTGATGGATGACTGAGTTATGAATGATTGTTTGGGGGAAAGGAAGGACTACATAGGATGGACGAAGGGCAGATGAACGTTTGTATGGCATGATTTTCTTGCTGAAGCAGCGCCGAGGGGCGGTTGGAATTATGATACCTTTGATTAAACCATAACTTCGTTGGGTTTCTTTTGTGTTATTAAGATTGTGTATTATGGAGAGGAATTTGAAACTGACATTATTTCTACCGAATGAGTAGGTAATTCTGCTTGAAGATACTGTATAGCACAGAGACATTTGAAGATATGACACTATTTCTGCGAACTGAGTCAGCCAATTCTGCATGAAGATATTGTGTAGCATATCTCTTATATCGGAAGAGTTGCGCTCTGTGGCACTTTGGATATTTCCCGTTACGCTGTATCGTGCGCCATTTTTTCCTTCCTAGCGGTGGATGTATTAATCTTATATCCGTACTCTGGCTATCATCAAAATGATTTCACGCCCGGCATCCAAACACACTTGGACCACAGTCTTGAGTTAGGGGCTCGTTGCACACCCCTATATGATGCGTCCTTTGATACTTTGGCAATGTTATAACCAAACCAAACACGGCTAACCGTTCGCAGGATTGCGGCTCTAATCGTCGGCAGAGATGACACCAGCGTTCATCGCATGTTTGACAGCAGGGTAGACAGCGAGAGCAAAGTTGCTCTGCCGCGCCAACACATACTTGACCGTGATGCCATTGTCACGATCAAAGTTTTCAATATGCTCGCATGAAGGATATACGACGTTGAATAGTCAATCTCCCAGTCAGGCTTCTTCGCATCGCGCTTCATTTGCTCCACGTCATCGTTCAAGTGTGGCATGAATAGCTTAGAAGCATCACTCAATTTCCAACCCATTGGCGCGAACGCTACTCTTTCCAGGATGAGGACCTCTTTGTTCTCTGGCATCAGGCGCTCAGCAATCATCGTGAGCAGGCTGCTATCCCCATTCTTCTCCGACAGCGACGTCAACAGGTCGTTGCTATGGGTCGTCCAGGCCCCCGAATACACCTCATGCTGCTTCTCGACCCAGAGCTTCATCAGCAACGTCCTCGGCCGCGACATCCACGCCCCACTGTTCACCTGCCCCTCTTTCTGCCTCCCGACGACATTCGCGAAGCCCGACTCCCTCAACGGCTTCACATCACGCAAAGCGTGCGCGTCCCAGTCAAGATAGATGCCACCGTGCTCGTAGACGGCCTGCGCGCGGACGAAGTCGGATTTATGCTCGAGAAGCGATATGGCGACGCCCGTCCCCGTCGCGATGTCGGGGGCATTGACGCGGCGCACGACGACAGCTGGCAGGTTGAGGATCTTGTGCGCCCACTTACTCGGAGCTTTGTCGATGGGCCCGCTCTGCGCGCGCTCGATGGATGCGTACGAGGCGTCGCTGTGGATGTAGATGAGGTCGGGTCCAAAGTAGAAGGCGGCGGAGTAGATGGCGACGAAGTGCTTGAACTTGAACTTGATATCGGAGTCGGGGCCGTCGGGCATGATATGCACAAAGTGCACGCGGTTGGGGATGGGGTTGATGGGCGCGGAGGCTGCGCTGACAGGACACGAGAAGGTGCGTGTGGAGGGGTAGAAGGAGGTGAGGAAGTAGAGGATGATGCCGACGAAGACGGCGACGGGGGCAAACTTCAGCAGCACGGCTTTGGCTCGCACCAGCACCGCGTTGCTGCAGCGCATTGTGCGGCTGTTGAGAGGTAGGAGAGGGGGAGAATTGGGCGGCTTCATCCACGCAGAATCACGGAGCTCATCGAGGGAAATCATTCAAGCAGACGTCGATTATACTATGAAGCGCAGCGAGGAGGCACTTCTTTAGCTAAATAACGCTTGTGTCACCTTCCCTCCCAGTGTCCCCATTTCGACACATCACCTCCCCTTACTTGGGGATCTTTGCTCGGGAATCTTTGCCCATGAGCTTCAAAGCTGTCAGCCCAGCCCACCTGTTCTATTTTCAGGGGTCCAATTGTCGGCCTAATTCTCTGAATGACTGGAACAGTGGACCTAACACTGGCGAGCATAGGCTCTTGCCGACCCCTAAATTGCAGATCACCTCCCCGTCCGCTTTAGCGACCGGCCTCCGACGAGGTCAAAGTTAGAGAACAGGCAACCATAAATTATACATACGCAGTGCGTTTCAACAGCACACATGCGCCTTGGCTTGGTTAACTCAGTACTGTTGGCAGGCTCCTTATATGTCATATGTGTCAAATGTGATAACTGCTAAATCGATTTGCTGTCAGCGAACGCTAAGATTGGCGGCGCAGATGGTGGAGATACTTGACACACAAAATTCAATAATACTTCTCCCAATGCAGCAGAATTGTCGATGATCTGATTCGGGGGCAGCCTCTTCGCATTTCTTCCTTTAAAGCTAAATAGATCCGATGGGGAAATACAATTTGGAAAGAGCGTAAGAGAGAGCGTGAGATTGTCGAAACGAACTCTTTTTTCACTGGTCGCTCGGCCACGCCCTGGCCAGCGAAGGACGTTTCCCGTGTTACTCGATTGAAACTGACGCAGCTAGAGCATAACGATCGGGGTTTTGTTTCGGGTAATCATGAACGGTTGAATTTTTTTGTCTCCCTCAGGCGGAATGGCGGAGAGACCAGGGCTATGTGAAGGGAAGAGAGAAGTGCGGAATCGCGGACCAGTTCCTACGGTGCATGCCACAACAGGGTCAGGGGCTATCCGCCTCACAGTTCAATTGCACCAACCCTGTATCAACAGTATCTGTATTTTTGGTGAGATATTTTATGTGTCCTAATATATTGCCGCCCTTTATTCATCCCGTCCTTACCACGATCCTGCCTTCAGCCTTGCCAGCCTCCCATGGTCCAAATTGTAACCAAAGCCACCCCAACCCTCTACATAACCGCACAACCAAACCCATACATCGCCCTCTCGACATCCCTCTTAACAACAAACCAATCCGCCCTCCTCTCCGCAAACTCATACACCTCCTCGGCGCGAAAGATGCCGCTAAAGCGCTCCCCATCCGCAATCACCGCCGCCATCTCCTTCGCGTGCTTCGGCCCAATTAGATAGATCTGGCTGAGCTCGCGCAGCGCGCGGAAGTACTGCAGCAAGTCAGCGTTGCGTAGGCGCTGGATATACGTAAAGTAGAGGTTCATGTCGGAGATGAGCTTGATGGAGCCGTCGATGCTGATGCGCTGACGCTTGACGTGCTTGCATAGCACTGTGAAGAGTCGTAGTCCGACCTCCTGGTTGAACACGTCGAGCATGTTCTTGTCCGTGCTGCCCGTCAGCATGTCTGTGTGAGAGGACACGATATCGACGACCTCCTGCGCGCACTTTGTTGGGCCGATGTCGAAGGTCGAGTCGGGTATACCGGATGCTGTTAGAGGGGGGTTGTAGTCGGATGGAGGTTGTGTGGTGGCGCAGACGTATTCAATCTCGTCCATGAGCACGTCAATGCCCTTGTTCAACCCGGCGGCGACACGCTCGTCGAGCATTTGCTCAAACTTCTTCTTGGCCTTGACGGCGGGGTCGAGGAAGTCGTTTTTGTCTACTAGCTTTGTCGCGGCGAGTTGCTGCTCGTAGAAGACGTCGACCATCTGAGAGATCAGGTCGCCGACGTTGACAAGCTCTAGAAAAGTGACGAGAGGCGCGACTCCTTTCTTGCTGTGCTCGCTCACTTCTCGTGGATTGTACTTGGATAAGTGATCAACCGCCTTGTCGAATCCGCTCTTGACATGCCGTGATCCCAGAGTTTGTAGTAGAAATATGAATATCATCTCGCATTGTTCTCGTGCCTCTTCCCCTGTTTGGCCACCGAGTTGCACAAACGCGGCGGCTCTTTCAAGGCTGGTTTTGGCGGAATGTACAAGTGTCAGTGCAATCTCTATGCTGAAAAGTGTCCTGATGCCTTCGAGCTTGTTTGCCATAATGGCAGATTTGGCCGCAAGCTCATCCCTTGGAGCGGAACTTGGCGATGGCATGCCCGGGACTGCAGCTGGCGAGTGTGACCTTGATGATGTTGGTGTGATTGAGGCTTCAGCCCTAGAGGTAGCCACACTAGTAACCTGAAGTGTTGCGCTCGACTTTGAGGTCGCAAAAGGTGAGAGACTTGGGAGCACATTGACGGGCATCATGACCACCTTCCTGAAGGATGTCAGGAAATCCTTCTTGTCCACCTGTCGGTTCACATTTGCCATAAAGAACGACTCTGTCGAAGCATCTTCTTCAGAGAGCTTCCTTTCCCAACCGCTAACTTGCTCCTCTGCTTCTTCCTTGAAGAAATCCAGTTCGTCTTGAAGATATAGGTCCACATGTTGTTCAAATACCCCCACAATAATCCCGTGGACTTTCCTTCGAAACTCTTCTGGCGATGCTGTGCTCGGTGGTTTAATCTGTAGCGAGAACTGTACACATTGCTCGAATATCCCCGAAACCGCTTTTAAATAAGATTGTATATTTCGCTCGTGTGACTCGTCGAAAAGAGGCGTTACCCAGTCTCCAATGACGTCTTCGCCAATCCTTTCAAGAAAAACTTCCAACACATTTAAACGAGGCGGAAATATCTTGTCGATAGTTTCTGCTTGTTCATTGATGAGCTTTAGTAGAGTCTCGAAAAATGCGAGGGATGGTTTCAGGTCTATTGAGCCTGCGGCTGCTTGGTTGAGGCAGTCCATCGGGTTGCCAAACTGTACATGATCTGTGAAGACCGGATGTTTTTGAACAAACATTTCGACTCCAGCTTGTCCTCCATTAAGAATACCAAGGACGTGAGCATATCTGTGCATCCGTCCTTCCACGTCCCAAGCTTCGTAACCTTGTTCAAACTCTCTGAGAACTGCACTTTCGAAGATGCCGACCATTGTGTTTAGCTTCTCTTCTCGTTGTCGCCAACCCTGTGCCCAGTCGCTTTTGGCGAATTTCTGAAGTTGCGCAAGCATCTGTGCTTGTTGTTCTGGATCGCGATAAACACGAAATATAATGGGATCCGTATGGCTTTTGGACCTCGCAAAATCCTGATAAAATGGACCCAATGCGCCATAAACACGCGCATATTCAGGTCGTGCATATCCACGAACTGACTTGACTTTACTCAAGACAGTCAGCAACGCTATAGGGTCCTCCAATGACGGTCTTGGGTTTGTAGTCGTCGGTTTGGATGTAGGTGGCGCTATAGCCAAAGTTTCGAATCCGTCAGCTAGGCTATTTGCTCCATGTATAGCTGGTGCCTGCTGCTTTTGCCGCTCTTCTTCGATGCCAGCATCGAAAATCGTAGTGGTCGTCTTTCTCCCCCCTCCAGTGCCATTGACCCCGGTTCCATTCCTCTTCGCCTCTTCGTCGTGCTTTGCTTTCTGGGCCTCCCATTTCTTGCGCATAACCTCTTCAAACCGTGCTCTTGCCTCGGCTTCATTCCAACACCCCATATATTGTAGTCTTTGAACCCATCGCGTGTCATCGTATACCATTTCCTTCATGCGCTTGGATGTTCGAGCACAGCGCATGAGATCGGAGACTGGCAGGTAGTCCAAGACGGTCGCAAGGATCTCTGGTAGCTGTTAGCACATATGGAGCTGCCTATGGGGATTTTTGGGCATACCAGCAGGCAGAGCGGCTCTATTCTGGACCATCTGCGCAGACTTTAGAGATGCCATCATGGCGCCCCTCGGTGGCGCCCCAGCACCTGGGCCATGTCTGGCACTCGGCATTGTCTGCGCATTCAATGTTCGCAGATGATTTATAGAAGATCAAGAACAATATACAACTGGCTATGCGCCAGACCAAATTTAAAGACTTGGGTCATGGCCTGTGGAGGTTGTAAGCCGGTGTATGTGGGGTTTCGTTGACGCTGAATGTCGCCTGTGCGCTACTCCATACGCTCGGCTGCAAAAACGCCGCCTTCCCATTTTAAATGTCTGCCGCTGGAACCCCTGCATGACGCTTAGTCGTTATTCAAATATTCCATGCCAAGACCGGAAAAACAGCTCCTAAAGCCTCCATAAATTCATTCTTAAAGAATCAGATAGAATTGGCAAACCTTTGTTTTATATAAATGCAAATTTACCTACTCGCGGGTCATGGAGGCGTTTTGGGTTGGCAAGGCTGCGGGTTGGTGGGGTAGACTAAAGCCTGGGAGGGTGCCTGCATAGACCAAGGTACCGCCCTCAAACATGGTAGGTCGGACGAGGCTGACTCTCTTCGATAAGCGATAAGACAATTCCCCCCCTCCCCTCCTCCTTTATCTCTTCACACCATTCTTCTTCGCTTACCTTCTTGCCTCCTCATCCTTCATTAGCAAGTTGCTTTTCCATCATCTCCATGTCATTACACCCAGAATAGTTCATTTGCAAGATAATTTGGCTTCTGGCTGAGCTTGCCCGCGCGAGTGGCCAATACTACTCTCATACCACTGGTGGACTTCGCGTCCTGCTTGGACCCGACCCTCGTTGCTATGGCGCCTCTTACCAACCCGAGATCTCGTGAGAATGGAGTAGACCAGCAAATGGCAGACGTCGATATTTCAAACAAAGGTAATCCAGACAAGAAGTGTTTAATAACATAGATCTGGTTGTTCTAACATTCGACTTTGCAGGCTATTGCCCAAGCAGCATCGTGGGGTACTTGGAGCGCATGACAACGGTTCCAGAGCCCAAACTTCAAGAACCTCCAAGTAAACGCCAGCGGTTGGACAGTGACAGCAATCTCGACTACATGGTAGTTAAACGGTCATCACTCACTTTGAAATTTCGCCAGTCCCCACGCAAAAATTCAAGGCTGCCTCTCACCTATCAGAGTGAGACAGTAGGGACACAAGTCGAGGAGTCCGGAAGCCAAGTTTTACTAAGGATTAGTGATAACGGAGGTCGTGATTGGAACGTTCTGGATGAGACCTTTGACGCTGATAATGTGCCAATTCGCGACATCAACATTGCGGGAGTGATACCATTTCGCGCCCACTACAAGCATAACCCGACGGCCCATGGCCGTTTGTGGGCCGAGACAACGTTTTCTCTGTCTGTTGAGAAGGGGTTTGAGGTTTTGCTGTTGACGTGGACTGTCAAGTGGAATTTATGTCCCTCGTTGGCATACATATCGGCAACTCTCCCCAAAAGACACCACCTGGAATCTGTCATAGAAGCATACTTTTCCGATCCTGCACAGAGCGACAATAAGGGTGCCCGCATATTACCCCAAGATTTTTACAACAGCGTTCATGTGCCGGAAAAAAAGGATGCAGAGGCGACGTTAATAGAGATCCCAGAGCTAAAGACTCCATTATATCCATTTCAGAAGAGATCAGTTCGGTGGCTGCTTGAGAGGGAGGGCGTTCAATGGTCTGCGGGAGAGAACTGCATGAAGGATGCGACTGTTAAGCCTGAAGAGACACCCTGCTCTTTCTATGAGGTGGTGGATGGAGATGGGCGCACCTGTTGGGTCAGCTCTCTTCTCCAAGCTGCTACACGCGATTTATCCGCGTACAAAGCTGCGGAAGATGAACTAATTGGAGGGCTTCTTGTTGAGGAGATGGGATTAGGCAAAACGCTAGAAATCACGGCATTGATAACCCTTCACAGAAGTCGCCCAGACAGCTTAAAGCCCATCGTTGATCCATATACGCGTCACGAAGCCGTCCCAACAAAGGCGACACTTATTATAACGCCGCCTTCAATATTGCAACAGTGGCAATCTGAGTTGGCACGCCATGCGCCAAGCTTGAAGGTGATGCATTATCAAGGGAAATCGAAACACAAAAGGCTTTCCCACGAGCAATTATTGGACATGATTGCTGAGCACGACGTCGTCCTAACCACCTACAGAGTTCTTGCTGGAGAGATATACCACGCAGCACCAGGTCCTGGCCGTGTCTCACGCCATTTAGATGGCTCACAGCAGAATATGTCAGTCTTTACGCACTTTTTGTGGTGGAGATGCGTGCTTGATGAAGCACAGATGATAGAAGGCAGCGTTACAAATGCAGCTACAATGGCTCAGATGGTTCCTCGTGTCAACTCCTGGGGCGTAACTGGGACACCAGTCAAGAAAGATGTTGAAGGTATGCATACCATTTTATTCCGGCGATTGTCGCCCGCTTTGTTTCCAAGCCTCACGTATATTGCGCCCCCAGTTTACGAGACTAACAAATATTAGACTTATTTGGATTGCTGAAATTCATCCGCTATGAGCCTTTTGGCATCCTGCCATGGACGTGGGCCGCATTACTCCGTAACCCGCCTGCATTTCAATCCGTATTCCAGCGTATAGCCCTCCGGCACACGAAGAGTATTGTCAGAGACGAACTGCAACTCCCACCTCAGAAGCGATACGTCATTACTATGCCATTTACGCCAGTTGAAGAGCAACACTATCAATCATTGTTCCAGAAAATGTGCGACGAATGTGGCGTTGACCTCCAAGGAGGCTCGTTGGCAGACGATTGGGATCCTACCAGGATCAGAACGATGGAACGGATGAGAGCCTGGCTTAGCCGGCTCAGGCAAAGCGCCTTACATCCCGAAATTGGAGTTAAAAATCGCCGTGTCTTGGGGAGGAAAGATGGGCCGCTGCGCACTGTAGGAGAGGTTCTAGAGACCATGTTGGAGCAAACAGAGCTGAGCATACGCGGAGACCAGCGGACCCTACACCTCACCCGACTCAAGAGGGGCCAAACTCTAGAAAATTCGCCCCGTGTCAAAGAAGCTTTGAAAATTTGGAAACGCGTGTTAGCGGATACAAATGCTGCTGTTTCTGTTTGCCGAGAGCAGCTACAGAGCGAGATAGATTCTCCCAAAGGGAATATGGCACTGGGCGGTGGGCCTTTGCTTAATGATGACGAAATTTCGTCTGGCGATAACAGCGATATTGACGATCGGGAACCTGGTGCTGAAAGCACATTACGCGTTGGCGCTCTTCGAAACAGGCTCAACGCTGCACTTGAAATCCAGCACATAGCAGTATTCTTTTGTGCCAATGCATATTTCCAGATCAAGTCGAATGAAGAGATGACAAAGCCTGACTCCGAGGAATTCATGGAATTCGAAAAGCTGGAGGCAGAAGGCTATCAACAGGCCAAGATGATCCGACAGGAAATCCTAAAGGAGATTTTTCGGAAAAACACAAAACCAATGGAGCGACTCGCGGAGAAGGCTTCATCCGAAGATTTTTTATCCATCCCTGAATTTCACATAAATACACAAAAAGGAGGAATCGAGAGCACCATACTTCTTGAGCAGCTAGATGGACTAGCTGCCGCACTGGATGCACAAGCAAATCAGCTGGATGAATGGCGTGAAACCACAATCCAGAACCTACTTCGGCCCCTAGTAGATGAGGAAGGAGTCATTGAGATGACCGGTGAAGAGTATCTGCAGTCTACTGAGTTACAGCAGGAGATTGTCATCTATGTTCTGGCTTTGCGTGCTGTTATCGAAGACCGACACGATGCTCTAACGGGCCAGGAAAATCAACTTGTGAAGCATGAGGTTCAGGTTGCCATTAAACAGGCCAAAGACAATATTGAACAGGCCGAAGCTGAGCAGGCCGAAGCAATTGTTGACCAGGCCGAAGCTGAACAGGCTGAGGCAGTTGTTGAACAGGCCGAAACAGACGTTGAAGCAGACATTGAACTGGCCAAAGCTGGCAAATGGTCATTACCCCAGAGAACACTGGATCTTTTACAAGCTCGTGCAGAATTGAAACCACCGAAAGCCATGGGATCTGTCAAGGGAATCCTCTCCGAATTAAGGACGCTATCATCACAACTCAGAATGGATGCGACAAAAGGTAGTTCACGAGCGGCCAATGAGTTGGTCATCATTGAGCGGAACATGGCCATTGTCCGCCCGCACCTCGAGAAACAGCTCAAGGCTGTCACGGCTTTGCGGCAGGAGATTGACGAATTCACATCGTTAATGAACTTGCGTGTAGAGTATTATCGACAGCTCCAGCAAATTTCCGACATGGTGCTGCCCCTAGGAGAAGACAGTCCCCCGGATCTGCCCATAAGTCTATTAGAAACTGAACAGAAACTCGCGGCTAAAATTGCGACAACTTCCTCAAAACTGCGATATCTTGTTCACTTAAAAGAAGAGAGCAAAGAAGATGCCGAAGGAAAGGATTGTCTGATTTGCACGGCGCCCTTCGAGAATGGGTCGTTGACTGTTTGTGGCCACATATTTTGCAAAGAGTGCATGGGGCTTTGGTTTCGAGGACACAAAAACTGTCCAGCGTGTAAACGTGAATTAACGATAAATGATCTACATGACATCACATACAAACCCCGGGAACTAAAGATGGCGGAAGAGGCACCCATCACACCTCACAATCAAGATCGTGCTCTTGTTTCTCCCAGCAAGAAGTCGGGCATATATTCTCAGATAAGTAACGATACCCTCGCCCAAATCAAGAACATCGACCTCGTCGGCCCCTCCTTCACCACGAAAGTCGACACGCTCTGCCGACACCTTCTCTGGCTCCGTGAAGCAGACCCCTTCGCCAAATCCATCATCTTCTCCCAATTCAGCGACTTCCTCGTCATCCTCGGCCACGCTTTTACCCACCACCGCATCGGCTACTCAGCCATCGACAAGCCCGGTGGAATCGAGAAGTTCAAGAACGACCCTGCGACCGAATGCTTCCTCTTACACGCCAAATCGCAGTCCTCGGGCCTGAACCTCGTCAACGCCAGCCACGTCTTCCTCTGTGAGCCGCTCATCAACACCGCCCTCGAGCTCCAGGCCATCGCGCGTGTCGACCGCATCGGGCAGCAGCAGGCGACAACTGTGTGGCTGTACCTCATCGACGGCACGGTCGAGGAGGCCATCTACGACATCTCAGTGCGGCGACGCATGGAACACATGGGCGGTGCGAGCACAGCACCGTCGAAGGAGAGCACGCCCGAGCTTGCAGATCGCAAGATTCAGGTTGCGAACTCGTTGGAGCTGCAGCAGGCACCGCTTGCGAATCTTCTGGCGAAGGGAAAGGAAAGTGGTGAGTTCGTTGGGAATGATGATTTGTGGGAGTGTTTGTTTGGGAATAGGAAGAGGGCGGTGGAAGGTGCTGCTGCTGCTGAGGAGAGGTTGGATCGTGAGGTTGCGAGGCACTTTGGGGCGGAGGCTGCGGAGGCCAGGATTGCTAATGGAGAATGATGCCTGGTACTGTACAGGTGATTTGATTGGGATGTGTATAGCAGATTGTTCGTGAATTGTTTAGGAAAATACCACCATGTTTGACTATTGTAAACTTTCTGTTCACCGAGCCGTACTTGTTGGACAAAATGTATCCAAAGACATCACTGTGAAGCAACTCTTCCGGGACAACGGGAGTTGAACAAAGGACGCAATAACTCATTGACCCTTTAGATTCTAAAGCAAAAAAGATAGCAAAAGACTCACAGTCTGATATTTGTATCAGACCGCGAGGAGAAAATCACTTGATTTTACTTTTTGGCGTTTGTATCGAGTGTTTTTTTTTTCTCGTCGTTTGTTTGCTGGGAGTCGAATTGATGCCCTTGTCCTTAATTCATTTCCTTGCCCTGGCCGGATTGTCCTGACAGTGGCACTCCCACTGCGCCACCGTGCCGCTTAGGATATTTGATGGCCAAAGTTGATATATAAAGGGGTGGGCGCTTGCGCTTGTCCCCTACTAAATTGTTAGCCATGGGTCTTAGGCCCCTGAAAGGGACCCTGATAAAGACCACTCTGACATCAAAATATGAGTGAGATGGCTGCTTTGATATATCATTGCAACACGGAGATCCCCATGCTGGTATAGAAGAGGAAGTCCCCATGCCACATGGCCTCTTCGTGGGGTTAGGCAATGAAAGGGAACTGTTGCAAGGCTTCTTCAACTGTGATCATGTCATGCAATAGACCACATGCCCCCCCAATATGTTGCCAAGCTATCACACTATTCTCACTGGAGAATGATGACCCCAGATAGAAATAGAACATGCCCCTGAGCTGCCCGAGATGAGAATGCTCTCCATATCGTCAAAAACAAAATAAAGAAGCAATGAACGTCAGTATCACAAAGCCCCAAAAGACATCCGCATGGGTGGTGCATCCATCATGGTATTCTTAGCTAGCCTAGCCATCTACAAGCCCGCGATCAGGCCAACGCCCAGTAATTCCCTCGCGCCACCAGCCAGCCGTACGCCCTCCGAACCCTGCGCGATGCATAGCCACCTTCCTCAGCACCCCATCATGCTAAAAATCCGCTTAAGCGACCCGCTTGCCCTTCTGGTTCTTCTTGGGGGTATCGGCGATGGTCAAGCCTGGGAGGTGTTAGTCTCTGTGCGCTTGTGTGGGCAAGTGAAAGCGGTGGGACGTACTCGGGGGGAGGGATTGCTTGAGCTTGTCGGCCTTTTCGGAGTCCTTGAGGACAAGGGTGTAAAGGTGGCGCTGGCAGCGGACCTTGAACTTGATGGCCGAGGTCTTCTTGCTGCGCTTGATGCGAGCCGAGCTGGCGTCCTTGCGGCGGCAGATCTCGATGAACTAAGGGGTGTGTCAGTGTAGCTCTTCTTGGTGAGTGTCTTCATTTCCACCGCTGTGGAAAGCCCGAGAGACAGCGAGAGAGAGAGCACAGCCGGAAGCCAGGAGAGAGCGGTAGAGGAGAAAGAATCAGGGACTGTCAGGGTCTAAGTGGTGTGGTTTGCCGTGACCTTTCCAATCGATAGCGCATTCTTGACACTCATCAAGACGGACGATACGCCCCCAAGGGTCGCCCTCGAATTGACAATCCCTTCCACCTGCGCAGTATCTTTCTTCCCGAGTCCAATTCCCACTTCTCCAATCGCTGGTCCCCTCATGCGCCATAGTCCCGTCCTCTGGCTGTACTGTCTCTCCCTCCACCTCTCTCTCATGGCTTTCCCCCGCCTCTAACAGCAGAAAGATAAAGTCGCAACTCACGTTCTTGATGTCGGAAATCTCGCGAGGCATTTTGGCGGTTGTTTTTGTCGAATAGGGGAGACGGATTCGATTTCGTGAGGAATTAACGTCGTTGCTCTGCTTGCCCGTGAATAATTCGGGTGTGCGCGAGAAATTCCCTAAGCGAAGGGCAAGGACGATCTCGGTGGCTGGGTGTGTGGCTGTGTGTGTGGCTGGGGTAGGGTACGTACTATATGTGGCTAGTGCGTTGGCGTTGGGGGACTGGGTGTGGCTAGTGGATTTGGGGGGGGTGTGAGTTTATGCGATGGGTGACGCGGCGGGAGGATGGAGCCAGTCTGTTCTTTTCAGGACGAGTCATTTCCTTTTAAGCATTAATATACGGCTTTGCGCATTTCCTACGATTGTAGCAAACGCAGCTTCATTATTTTAACAAGTTTATTCATTAAACACGAGATAATAGTCCAATTCCATCAGCCACAATAACCACACCAAAACCTCGCCACCATCCCCAGATCCTCACCATGGCTCCAACTCCCATAGACAAAGCTCTCAACTCAAGAGTAAGTTCCCCAAATGGTTATACAGATCCATTACTAACACCAACTCCAGAACACCTTCGCTGGTAACTATCCCACCTGACGCCGCCTTGAATCTCACCACTAACACCTCGCAGCCTTCGCCGGAATCGTCACAGCAGCAGCCGTATGGTCCATATGGGGCAGTGACATGTTCCCAGCCCAGCCAGATCCCACCGGAAGTATGCTCGCCTCATAGCTCGTTGGTCTTCCTTGCCCTTGCCCGCGCCAAGCACTCCCACGTCTCTCTCAGACCTCATCATCAGACTCTTCCTCGCTCACCCTCACTTTCCCATATCCCGCCACCTACAGCAGTACTAACTACCGCAGACCCCGACGACTGGACAGAACAAGAAATCCGGCAGTGGTTAAAATATGTATGCCTCTCCTCGCCTGCCTCAACGCCTACCTTTAAGCCTAACTAACATCCTCCCAGCGAAACCTCCAGCCCTCCATGACCGCCACCCGCGCCGAGCTCCTCGAGCGCGTAAAGGCCAATCTCCGGGTGCCACGCGCATAATTCGGAGAAGGAGATACCACGGAGCACATTTCCGTTGTAATAAGCCTACTTGGCAATATAATACCCTCCTTCGCGCATCACTCCTCACTCTCACGCGTCACGTGCACCCCCTTTTCATGAAACTGAATGCCTATCATTCTCTAGAATCTAGCCATGCTTCATACCTTCATCTACACATACTCATAGGTCATACACCCGATCTACTCGCTCTCTTCGCCGCTACCACTCTCATCCCCGCTCCCCCCTTCTTCATCCTCGTCCTCTTCATCCTCGTCCTCATCCTCCTCCCCCTCATCCTCATTCCTCACAAGTCCATAATCATCCCTGAAATCCTCCAAAGCACGCACCTCCGTCTTAAACCCATCGGCCTCAAACCCCTTCACAATAGCCTGTGCACACGTTAGTCCACTTTCCACACCACCTCCACGCAAAAGGGGTACGCACCTCCGCCACAACCGGCGCACACGTAACCACCACATTCGCCTTCCCCGGCTCAAAACACTTCACCAGCACCTCCCCCATCGCCTCCCTCACCTCCCTCTCCCCCACCTCCCTCACCTTCCTCAACAACTCCTCGTTATACCCCTCCGCCACTCCCCTCACCACGCCATTCACAAAGTTCATCCGCGCCGCCATCGCCATCGTCGCCTGCTCGTCCGCAAGGCTGACCACGATCGCGCTCACCGCGCCCTCGAGCAGACTGCGCTCCAACGGCTCCTCCCCGCTCGCAAACGCAGCCACCACGTCGCGACTACGCGCGAACGCTTTGTGAGCGTCAGGCGATCGGTACACGCGGAATTGCATGAAGCCCCCGTCGACGTCGCGGCTGAAACCCGTGCCGTAGGCGAGACCCGTTCCGCGGATTGCGCGCCAGAGCGGACCCTCCACCGCATCGAGGTAGGCGACTGCGACGAGCAGCGCGGGGATGCGCGGGTCGGTGTAAGAGGTTGGTCCGGTGGCCGAGCTGATAGCGAAGGAGGAATCAATGGTGGGCATTGGAACGACAACTGTGCCTAGGGAGCCCGGGGCGCGGCCGGCGGGACTAAGGCGCTGGTGCTGCATCTCGATTGGGAGAAGGTCAGTCGGGGCGCCGAGGGCGTCGCTGAGGAGGGACCAGGGCTCGGTGGGGTTAGCGAGCTTATTGACGTCTGTGACGACGAGGACGCGGACGTTGGAGAAGGTAAAGAGGCTCTTGCGGAGAGTTTCGAGCTTAGCGATCACGGCGGCGGGGTCGGCGGTGAGGAGCCTGCGGATGCGCTTTAGGTAGACGGCTTTGACGAGGGTGTTGCGCGCCTTGACGGTGGACTTGGAGTCGAGGTGGATCATGGCGTCGACGGCGTAGGCCATGCTGTTTCCGCTGCGCTTGGCTTCGGGGATGTCGGCGAGGATCTTGGTTAGAGCAGCGCGGAGGCGCGTTACGTCGAAGACGGCGTCTAACATCATGGTGCGGATCCAGCGGATTGTCTGCTCGTACTTGTCTTGCTCGACTTCGAAGACGATGCCGACGCCTTCGCTGTGTCCAAGGCGCGAACCACCGCCGATTGCGTAGCTGATGGTGTCCTTCTCGAGGTCGGTTACGACTGCCTCGAAAGGAATCTTCTCCCCGTTCTGCATGACAGGCGTGTTGAAGAAGTTGTCAATGAAGAGCGGCAGCAGAGGACGAAGTTCAACCGGGATCCCGGACGTTCCAAGGAGCATACTAACCAATACAAAGTTCGACGGAACATGTTCAAACTGCAGGAACAGTGATGCGTCCTTGGCTTTATCAATGACCTTCTGGGCACCAACATCCTTCACCCCCAAGCTCCGTGCCGGCCCCGCCCTCGCCGTCTCCGTCTCAATGAAGTGAATCGAGCTCACCCCCGGAACAGGCCACTGCTCCAGAATCGCCTGCGGGATAGGAGCATCATTCTTCGCCTTCGCATCCTCGAGTTTCTTAGCCAGCACCTTAAGTCCATCCACACCCAACACATCCTTCTGATCCGCCACGCGCGCAATCTCATCAGCCTTAAGCTTATCCGACATCGCCTTCGACGGCTTCCCCAAGATCGAAACATGCTTAGCATCCGAGATCCACCTCCTCAAGAAAGCGCGCCACTCCCCATCCGTCCACTTCTCCAAGACATCATACTCCTTAATCGACGCCAGATCCCTCAGCGTCGACCCATCGCGCTTCCCAAACAGGAAGTCGTTAATCACATTCGTGGAGAAGAACTCCGAGTTGCTCTCCGCCTGGAACATGACCTGGCGACGCTCGCGACGCACACAGTCTACCATGTACTTCATATCCAGCGGCTTGTCAGCGACCTCCTTCAGCACCTCAAACAGCCTCTTCTCAACCGCTGCAAGCTTCTCGGTCGCGACGCTCGTCGGCTGTAGCCAGATGACGGAATTGGGCCTCGCGTCCCACCACGTGCTGATGGAGCTGGCGAGCTCCTCGCGCTCAACCATCGTGTTCTCCAGGATCGAGATGGACGAGCCAGAGAGGTAGGTTAGGAGCACATTCAGCGCCGCGGTTTGCACGACATCATTGCAATCCGGTCCGAGGAAGCCAACCAAAATATCCCCCGCCGACTCATCCTCCTCCGGAAACTCCACCGTCTGCAGCACCGTCTCCTTCAGCGCGGGCGTCTGCGGCGACTCCATCCATGGCCTCCGGAACGGAGCATCGGGCTTGGGAATATCCCCCAGAATCCCCTCCTCGAACGCATCCAGAATCTCCAACATATTCGCATGCTCCACCTCCCCCACGATAACAAGACACAGATTCCTAGGCTGGTACATCTCCCGATGGAACTCCCGGATTCGCTCCGCAGTCAGCACACGCAGCTGTTCCATCATCCCGCCCGTCTCGTACCGGAAACCCACGCCCTCCGGATACAGCGCGCGGCGCGCGGCGAGATCCATTAGTTCGGGGCCGTTGTTCTGCACGCCTTGCATCTCAGAGTACACGACTCCCGCGTCATTCCCGTCGCCGTCAACATGGTGGACTTCCGTGTAGCATCCCTCATCCGTCAATGTCGGCACGATAACATGCTCTAGGTACACCGGCAGGATCTGCGCAAACCCCTCCCACCCCGCCGTATCGAGGGTGTAAGCAGTGTGATCCGTCGCCGTCCAAGCGTTCGTATTAGAGTACGCGCGATTAGCCAGTAAATCCAAGACGCCCTTGTACTTATAGCTCTTCGAGCCCATGAAGACAAGATGCTCGAGGGTGTGCGGCGCGCCGGAGTCGTCGAAGATCTCGGTGGCGAGGGTGAAGTAGCCTTGCACTTTTGGGCCTTTGCGGTCGACGACTACGACTTGCATGCCTGTCCGCCTGGACTTGTATTGCGTGAGTCTGGTGGGGGCGTAGTCGGCGTCGAATTGGAGGAGGGTCTCGAATTGAGACTTGGGGGTGGTGGTGGACATGGTGGGTGGGAAGGCTGGTAGCCTGTTTATTATTCTTGTGGTGGTGGTGGTTATCCTGAAATGCTGGTTAGTGTCTTGATGAATAAGTTATGATGATTCTGCGAGGGGGTGTGCAGTCACCTGGCCGCCAAACAGCCTCTTATCCATCCCCAACAAGGAGTCAAGCAGCAGCAGCACCAGTGAAACTTCACCCCCTTGCCAGCAGCCTCTCATTCATCCCCCATCAAGGAGTTCCCCATCATCAGCAGCACAGGGAAACTTCACCCCTTGCCAGCCCCCTCCCCCAAACATAAGGAACAACTATAAGAAATCGTGGCCGCACCACAATCCCCCCCTCCCCCAAACATAAGGAACAACTATAAGAAATCGTGGCCGCACCACAATCCCCCCCTCCACCACTCCAACACCACAGCCAGGACCCCCAATATCAAACCCCCTAAAAGCAACCTCCGCCCCGCCATATCCTTCTCCGCTGGCCCCCACAGCTCAAGCCTCGTCGACACCACTGACTCCCAGAAACACAAACAAACAGACAAACAGCCTCTCACCTCTTCTCTCCCGTCCAAGTTCCGAACCGGCACCTCCCCGAACGCAAAGGCGTCGTGGTGGTAAACAAATAAACCCTTACACCTCGCTGACTTGCTCTTGCCTATTCCGTTGCTTTTCCTTTGTTTTTGCCTCTTCTCTTTCAAAGGTTGCACTTTATACACAGGAAACAAAAGATCAGATCTTCTATTTCTGCGAAACAAGACAGACGTGACTGGACATGGGATGGGAAAGAACGATACCAACCCTCACTCCTATCCCACCCGTCGTTGGTGGGGTTATCACGTGAAATATATCAGATAAAAAGATCGCGCTAACTCCATCCAGAAATATATATCACGTGACTGTGCATCCCTCATCCGGTTGGAGCCCTCCTCCAACTCGCCATTTTTCGATAAGGAGGGACGATTGATTGATCGCAAACACCAAGAGACATAGCAGATAAGTTGAAAGGGTAATTTATTACAAAAATATATACTCGTCCCCATGTGTCTTAAAATGGGACCACAACGACGACGCCGTGAGGAGAGCAAACTACCTAGTTCGTCGGCTCCCAAACTGTAGAAGTAATAGCACTCAGTCAGCCATTCCTTTGCATCCATCCCATCCGTCCATCTAGCAATCCATCCCATCCATCCCGTCCAGCCAGTAGGCCAGTAATTTCCCTCCCTCCCCCGCCAAATCAATAGCCACGCACGCACCAAACGTACGAACGCTTATTTATACACAAACACCTCACAGAACTCTCCACATCTCACCCGCTCAACTCCAGAACTCCCTCCCCCTATTTCGTCCCCGCAGACGTCGCGCTCCCACTCCGCTGCTGTTGCATCTGCTGAGGCTGCAGCCCGCCACTACCCTGCTGCTGTCCCATCCCCTGCTGTTGTCCTCCCTGCTGCATCCCCTGCTGTCCCTGGCCCTGTCCTCCCTGTCCCTGTCCTCCCTGCCCTTGCTGCTGCTGTCCTTGCCCTTGGCCCTGCTGCTGTCCACCCCCCTGCTGCATCCCCTGCGCCGCCACCGCCGCAGCCTGCCTCTCCTGCTGCGCCCTAAGCATCTGCGCATACTGCACCGGCGAGCTGCCCTGCATCCCCTGCACCCCCCCTCCGGCGGCAGCATGCATCGCCGCCTGCCTCTGCGCATTCCCAAGCGCATCCGCGACCATCTTGCGTACCTGCTCCGGCGTCGCGGCCGGGAACTTGGCGCGATACGACGCTTCTAGCTGCGCGTACTGTGGGTTCAAGCGGGGCGAGCCCTGGAGTGCCGCTGCTGCCGCGGAGTTGGGTGGTGAGCCGGCGAAATGCTGCTGTTGCATTGGGTTGGGCGACATGCCGTTCGTAGGCATGAACGCTTGTTGTTGGTTTGGTGCACCCATGTTCGGAAGGCCGCGGATGGCATTAGGTGGGGAAGAGTGCATAGTCTGCTGCCCCCCTCCTCCCTGATGCTGCTGTATCTGCACCGCCGCACGCTGCTGCTGCGAGATCCGCTGCGCCTGCATTACAAGACTAAGATCAGGCGTCGCGTTCGGTGCAGGGAGGCGGTGCGCGGGGCCCATGGGCATCCCTTGCATTCCCATCTGCGCCTGTTGCGGTACACCCTTTAGTGGCATGGGCCCCATACCCAGATGGATGTTGGGCATGGGCATGGGTGCGCCCATGCCGTTGGGGAGTTGTTGCATGGCCTGCTGCTGCTGTTGGAGGTGGTGGTTTTGGCCTGGCACGGAGAGGTTGGCGGGGCGGTTGTTCTGGGCGTTGTTGCCCATGTTTGGGGGCGGGGGGGCGTTCATGTTCGGGTTACCACGCTGTTGCTGGTTTTGGCCGCCGGGGTAGCCCATCTGCATGTTAGGCTGCTGGTTTCGGAGTGCCTGTACTTGCGCCTGTAGTACGTTAGTTTTTGATCGAAGGGAATCGGTCGCGACAATGAAGGAAATAAAAACAAAATGGTCATCATACCCTTCGATGTGCCTCCTGCTGCTGCACCAACCTCGCCTTCTGCTCCAAGATCGCCTGCTCTCTATCATGCTTAATCTTGCTAAACTGCGCCGGGGTGTGCTTATTAATCGGCTGCACGGGCGTATCGTTCGCCTTGCGCATGTTCGCCAGGCTCTGCGCCTGCTGCTGCTTCTGCGCCGTCGTCTCGCGCTTCTTGGCCACCTTGCGCATCGAGTCCACGAGCGTGAGGTGCTTCTGGTTGCGGCGGCGCTCGACGCGCAGGCTGGTTGTGCTGCGGCGGATCTGTCGGGGTGGGGCGGAACCAACTGCTGGTGGTGGCTGGGCGGCTTGTGCTTGGATCTGTAGGAGTAGCGATCGCTGTGCTGCTTCCAGGCGGTTGTTGTAGGCCCTGAAGTAATGAGTCTTTTGCATGTCGGCGGGTAGTCCTTCCAGGTGAATCCAGCGCTCAAAGCACTCCCATGGCGTGCGACGCTCAGCAGCAGTGTAATACACCCCCTTCGACGTCAACATACTCGAGATGAGAGACCAGTTGTATTGATACTCCCTCACCAGCTGCTTCAGCTCATCATCTTCAGCCCACGTCCACTGCGACGGATGTCTGTTCTCAAAGAAGCTCTGGAGGGGCATTGGGAATTCCGATGGAGGCCTGAACTGGTGGCCAGCGTGGATGCGATCCCTAATATGCTTGTTCTCCGGATTAAACAGTGCAACATCGACCTGCAACGGCTCCTGTGGCTTTCGCTGCGTACGTTCCCCAAAGACAACCTCGTCCTCATCATCGGACTCCTCGGCGTACTCGTATCGGCTCTTCTTCCGTGGTGGCGGTTCGTCGGTAAAGCGGATCTTGCCCTCAATATACTTGCTGAGTGGCAGATACGGCTTCCTCCACGAGGCATCAGGGTCAACCTCCGAAGTAGGCAGGTCGCTCTGATGAACCTTCAACGGCGCACCATACATCGGAAGCTCCTGGAGGAGTTTATCCGAAGCCGCCGACCTTGAAAGTCCAAACACCAAGTCGTCATTGTCCAGCGAGAAGATGGCAGTCGGCGCAACAGTCTCGAGGAGACTAATACGAGGCTCATCATCGAACTCATCAAGCGGGGTATCGTTATCCGAAGACGGGACAAGATCGGGCGTAGGATGCGACATCTCAGCATCAGTATCAACAATGCCGTCAGCAGTCACCTCAACCTCCCCAGCATCAGCAACAGCCTCAGCACTCGCCTCGACCTCCACATCCCCCGCATCCACCACCATCTCGTCCCCCCTCTCCACCGACTCCAAAACCACCACCTTCCGCTGCAACACATCCCTCTGCTCCTGATCCCCATTAACCCACGCGGCACACTCCCACGCCGCCCTCCTCGCCAACGCCGTCTTCCACTTCCGCTCCTCCCTGAAATCCGTCCTCATCCACCTCGCCTCCTTCAGCAGCTCATCCCAATGCGTCGTCGGGCGGATCGGCTCCGGGCTGCGCTTCGGCTGGCGGAGGGACCACTTATCGTGGTTCTGCAGGCTGTGGATGCGGCGGATGATCTTCTGTGCCTGCGCTTCGTGGAAGGGGAGGGCGGCGTTGGTGGTGGTGATTGTCTTGTGGGCGCTCGCGAGGAGGGCTTCGAGGGTTTGGTAGCCGCGGATGGCGGAGTAGCTTTGGGCGTTGATTAAGGGCATGAAGTAGTCGGGGTACTCGGTCCCCTGTGGCTTGGCGGTCGCGCTGACTAGTGCCGACGTCTTGGTGTCTTTGGTCACTGGCTGCTTCGCGAATACGACGGTAGAGAGCTTGCTGCGCTCCTTCTCGCGCGCGCGCTCGGTCAGGCTTCGCATCCGTGACGAGGCGGATTTTGGTGTAGATGTCCCTGATGGGAGGTTCAAATCGGCTTCGGCGAGAGCACGCCCTGGTGTTCTTTCCGGTGTGTTCATCGAGCTTGGTCGTGGAGTTTCTCCTAGGATCTCCGAGACAGACTTGTGCCTCATCGCACCAGATGCAACACGGGTCGTCATCCGCTCAATGGATGGAGTCGACACCGAAGTCGAAGTCGCACGTTCCGAAGATGGCTCTTTAGGCTCCTCAGGTTTGGCAGGCGCAGGCTTCGTTGACTCCGTAACTTCCATAGGTTCTGGAGCTGGAGCAGTCTGTTCAACCTCCTTCCCCTTGGCCTGGGCTGGCTCCAGCACATCGACGTCCATAGGCTCAGGTACCTCCTCAGCAGGAGGCTGCGGCACAGTTTCCTTCCTCAGTGCCTCAACAGCCGCTGGCTCAGGCACCTTCTCATCCGGAGTCGGAACACCCACAACCTCATCCTGATCCTTCTCATCATCCATGAGTTCATTCGCCGTCTCCGGAGCCCCCACCAACTCCCTAACCTCGGGCTGTTGTCCATCGACCTCAGCCTTAGCGGGACGGGCAGCTCCTTCCTTCCCAGGAATAGTCGAGGCAGCCGCAGCCTGCTCTTCCAATAACTGCGTATCAGCAGCGGTGGGGCTGCTTCCGAGGATGTGCTCGCGCGCAACGTCGATCTGTGCTTTTAGTATCCTATCATGTGCATCCTTCTCCCGCACCTCTTCCTGGGTAGGGGCCAGCTCGGGTGGGGTTTCCGGGATGACCTTCTCCTCCGCCACTTCTTGGTCGTAGTGGTGAGCCTCGTTGTCCGGGCTCGTGTCCGCTGAGGTCTCGTGATGGTGAGCCGACGTCGTTGCTGAGAGTGGTCCGACTGTTGATCCAGGGGACGAGGCAACATCGGCTTGAGTCTGTCTATCATGCTGAGCAGGCACCTCGAGGGCCAACCTCGCCGCAGCCGCATCAGCAGGCCTTTCCTCCCTAATAGCATGCCTCTGCTCCTCCCTCTCCTTCATCCCCGCCTCCTGCGCTTCCTGCGGCGGTAGATGGACAGTCGACGGCTTGTGGGTAGAGTCGTTGGCGCCATTAACTATAAGACCTGGTAGTTGTGCCGCATCCTTCGCCGACTTTGGAATCGCCACGTTCGGATCAACACCAGGCGTATCGGGCGTAGCTTCAGCCTTCTTGACGACGCGGTCCTTCTCCAACGCCTCGCGGGTCGGTGTATCGTCCTTGGCAGGCGCCGGCGGGTTATTCGCATTGAAAATCGCATCGCCCAGCGTCTCATCAACAGCAGCATCCAACAAGGCCGTCGGATTCGTCGCCACGGCTCGATCGATCCTCAGCGCCTCCTCGCGAGGGATTGATTTCCGTCTCGCCCCAGCGGCCTTTCCATCCTGCAATCCTCGCGGTGGCGTCCGGGACAAAGGTCGTTCAATAGTCGCAGGTACCTTGACGTACAAAGGCCCGGTGTTGTAGGAGGCATCTGTTTTCGGCCGTTCCTGCAGCGACTGCCTCCCATCTCTTTGAGCGTAATCCAGCGGCGCACCCGTCCGCGGAGCTAGACTCGACTTATCGATTCCCACCGACGTTCTGGGCGCATCGGATCGGAGGCGGCGGCGCGAGGGGATCGTGTGTTCCTTCAAGATGAGACCTCTGTTTGCAAAGCATCAGCACAAAAGGTGCAAAGACGACATTGCGACCGGGGCGAATGCGGGGGAACTCACTCTTTGATATCATTCAGGCTTAAGAAAGCGCGCTCGGCGGGCGTGGCCTCGGAAATGGGGGCGTTGAGATCGAGGAAGGCAGGCAGCGGGATGGGGCCATCGCAGGTCGCGACGGCGTACAGTTCGCGGAGTTTGCGCTTGCGCGATCGCTCTATGATTCTGTGAAATGGTCAGGTCAATTGTCCCTTATCAAATAAATACAAACAACGGGATGAGATAGGATAGTAGAGTCGTAACGCGTCGTCGGGGGCGTGGGGGATTTCGGGGTTCGTGTGTGCGACTTACTCGATGTCGTTCTCGCGACTCGACGTTAGTTGCTTGCGAGCGGCAAGCACGACCTCATTCGACATCGCATTTCAGGATGAGGCGTGCGACATCCGTTTTCGAGGAAACGAACGTCGGGGGGGTGTTGGCGGTGGTTGCGGGATGTGATTTATGGGTCGAGATTGATGGATGAGTCGTGGGGTAGTGGTTTAGTTGATGGAAGTGTTTTTGGTCGTTGATCGTTGGTCGTTGGTCGTTGGTCGTTGATCGTTGGTCGTTGATCGTTGATCGTTGATCGTTGATCGTTGATCGTTGATCGTTGTTCGTTGTTCGTTGATCGTTGTGTCGTTATTGATAGATGGAAGGGTTTTTGGGGGGGATGAATTTTGGGGTTGACACTGTGAGGGTATGCTGGAGTTGGATGTGGTTGGATGTGGTTGGATGTGTTGGTGTGTCAGGAAGTGGTGGTGGTGGTTGTGGTGGTTGTGGTGGTGGTAGTGGTGGTGGTGGTGGTAGTGGTGGTGGTGGTTGTGGTGGTTGTGGTGGTGGTAGTGGTGGTGGTGGTTGTGGTGGTTGTGGTGGTGGTAGTGGTGGTGGTGGTGGTGGTGGTGGAGTAGTGGTAGTGTAGTGGTCGTGGTCGTGATGGTGGTAGTGGTCGTGGTCGTGATGGTGGTAGTAGTGGTTGTGGTGGTGGTAGTGGTAGAGTAGTGTAGTGGTGGTGGTTGTAGTGGTGGTGGTGGTGGTGGTGGTGGTAGTGTAGTGGTTGTGTGGTGGTGGTGGTAGTAATGGTAGTGTCAGGAAGTGGTGGTTGGTGGTGGTTGGTGGTGGTTGGTGGTGGTTGGTGGTGGTTGGTGGTGGTTGGTGGTGGTTGGTGGTGGTTGGTGGTGGTTGGTGGTGGTTGGTGGTGGTAGTAGTGTTGTGGTAGTGGTGTTGTGGTGGTGTAGGGTGGTAATTTTATAGATTTAGTGGTGGTTGGTGTAAGAGGGATGTAAAGGTTAGAGTATGTTGGACGAGAGGATGAGGATGAAGGATAAGAGGGAAGAGAGAGAAGGGGCCACTCGGAAGGAAAATGGTCCGTTTGTTCTTTGTCGATTTACTATCGACAGAAGCAGGCAAGACCGGGTAAGCGAGAGGGATTGGGGGAAAAGAAACCCAAAAAAAAACACTTAATCAAGTTAAGCAAGTTACTCTTAATATCACTGTCGTCACCGTCAACGAGAGGGACGAGGGGGATAATTCCACTACGCTGTAACATGCAACTACAAACTAAATGCCATAAATCTCCCCATATCGCCAATCCAGATGTCCTCCAACTCCTCGTCCCATCTTCAATCAATTACTGTAATCCCCATCCATCCGCCGTCTCCTCCCACTTCCTCACTCCCTGACGCCTTGTGGGCCCAGTCCAGAACCTCGTCCTATTCAAATACCAACCAACCACTTACATCCCCTGCATTCTCTCCTATTTTATGCTTGTAACTTGTAACTTGTAACTAACTTATACCGAGTATGAATCTGATAAAGTTAATAATAACTTAAATATGAATCTGATAAAGTTGATGATAACTTAAATATGATCTGATAAAGCTAATACTATAGTGAGTGGTACCTACAATGCAGAAGACTTGGTACTTTTGTCCTTCATCTTTTGTCCTTCATCTTTTGTCCTTCATCTTTTGTCCTTCATCTTTTGTCCTTCATCTTTTGTCCTGTACTTCACTTCACCACTTCCCCGAGTCCCAGTGGGGGAAATCGTATGCTGTCACGTGACTGGCTCGGGATCGATCTCACTTCCCACAGTCAACGACCAAATATCCACTCCCCGTCCAAGGTGAGGTTGTATAGGAGATAAATATATTTCAAAATCTAACCATTCATTCGTTGACCCCAAGCAAGCAAAATCTACGCACAGCCCCTATCATATCAAGAGCCTGGTTCTATTCCCCCGTCCCAAACGCCAGCCTTTCATATCCTTATTCCCCCTACAAAATCGGAATCATTCCCATCATTAATTCCATCCCCCTCGCGCACGCACCACCCACTGAAACCCATGATCGATCTCCTCAACCCCACTCTCAAACCCCCCCGTCTCCAAATCCCCCTTCCCCACCGGCATCACCGCCAACATCTTCATCACCAACCTATCCTTCTGCCCCTTCAGCTCCCCCTCCACAACCCCCTCATACTCCGCCCTATACTCCTCCAACAACCTCGTCGACACAATACTCCCCCCACAAACCACCACCACCATCTTCTTCTGTGCCCACTCCTCATCCCCACACCCCCTCCCCAGCCCCCTACGCAGCGACCCATCAAAACACGCCGCAACACTAACCCCACACGCCGCCTCCGCCATAATCCTCTCAAGATCAGCTAACCGCACCGACCCCATCGCCGCCTGCGCGTCGCTGAGGACAGCAACCTGCACGCCCTCTTGGCACGCAACCTCGTACGCGCGATCCGCGACCTTGACGCAACCAAGACTCGTAGCGATGGATGAGATCCCAGGGAGCGTGACGACCTTCCCGGATTCAAGGCTGGTGGCGAGACTAGCTGCGCCTTCCGTCTCCACGGCCAGGATACCGACTTGCTTTGTGCGTCCGGCTTGGCGGAGACCGTCTGCGATGCCGACTAGTAGACCCCCACCACCAACCGAGCAGACAACCCCGTCATATCCCCCGACGGATTTCATCTGCATCTCCAACTCCGGCACCAGACTGCTCGCCCCCTCCCAAATATCCGGATGGTCAAAAGGCGGGACATACACCTCCTCCCCGCTGTGGGAACCGCGCCCCATCACGCTCTCACGAAGGTAGTTATCAGCCTCCTTCCAGTTCCGACCCGCCTGGTGCACGGTTGCCCCTAGGGCCCGCAGCTTGACGACCATGAAGGGCATGGTGGTGGAGGGGACGACGATGGTGCAGGGGTGGGAGAGGGTGAGGCAGGCGGTGGCGCAGGCGAGGCCGGCGTTGCCGCCGGAGGAGCAGTAGAAGTGTGGGTTTGTGGTGCGGGTGCTGGCAAGGGAGATGAGGTGGCCGATGCCGCGGGATTTGAAGGAGCCGGAGGGTTGGAGGTGGTCGAGTTTGAGGAAGATGCGGCTGCGGGGGGGTGTCAGTGGTGTGGGTGGAGGAAAGGGGGGTGGTGGTGGTGAGAGGGACGATGGTGAGAGGGTTGTGGGGAGGAGGGAGGAGGATGGGTAGGGGGGGGGGAGTAGATGGGGGGAGGCGTACCATCCTGCTACTTGGGAGAGAGCGCGGGACTCAATGCATGGTGTCTCCCTCCATAGCTTCTGGTAAGAAGGGGAAGCTGGGGGCGTGATAGAACCCATTGTGAAGTTGAGTTGAAGTGATATCAAGTGAGAACAACAAAATGGATCTGATAAATGTTGAATGATACCCTCCTCGTAGTCTTGAAAATATAGAGAGAGAAGACAAGCAAGAGGGATATAGAGAGAGAGAACAACAAAGAAGAAAAGAAGAGAGAGAAAAGGAATAGGGAGAGGGGGGGGGGAGGGCCAGTATATATGGTTCCCAAAAATACACCCACCACAACCAACAACCCAGCTTATCTGGATCACCGCATATCGATATCAGCAGGCAGTGCACACCGTAGCTCCACTAAGACATGGCCCGGAGCGGTAAAGAGATAATGGGAAGGGATCCCCAATTGATCTCTGCGCGGAAAATGACAGTGTCATCCATTCAAAGAGAACGGTACGAGTACATGGCGTTCCCCCCGGCCAGTATCTCGGCGGGCTGGCTGGGCGGGCTGGCTGGGGGGATTGTTGTCTCGCACGCACGCACAAACACAAGACCGCGGCGGGAGCGCAATTCCTAGCGGCGGACCAGACAATCACGGAGGCGGATGCGCGCCAACGAGGCCACGCAGCAGCAGCAGCAAATGGCAGCAAATGGCAGCAAATGGGCAAATGGGCAAATGGCAGCAAATCACGACGCGGGCGCGGGCACAAAGTCTAAAACGACGTATAGTTAGTCGGAGAGATCGGGGTTGCAAGTCCGCCGGGGGTGAGATGTGAGAATAAAGTTGCCTGTTTAGGGTGGAAATGTGGTGAGATGTGAGAATGAATTTCTGGCGGGGAGGAGTGGGAATTGACGTTTGGGGGAAGGTGGATGACGGGTTGGATGACGCGATGAGGGTTGGGAGATACTTGTAGGGTAATGGGTGGAAGGTCGATTGGGGGGGAGAATTGGGGAAGAGATATATAGGGGGAAGATGGGTGGAAATAGGTGGGAATAGAAGCGGAAGTAGAGGTACTTCTAGGGTAATAGCATGGTAGAGGGAGAAGGAGAAATGGTACTTCTAGGGTAATAGCATGGTAGACAATAAGGTGCGATGGTGAGAAAAGGTACTTCTAGGGTAATAGAATCACTCCATATCTGGATATCTGGGGTGTTGGATGGGGGATCTGGAGCTGATGACCTGCAGAAGTGTGGTAGCGCTCGGTAGCGCTCGGGTAGTGTCGGTTAGCGTGTTGGAGGCTTGTGTGGGAGGATGTACTGGTACTTGGGGGGAGAAGCGGCAAAACAAAAAGTGTAGTAGTGTAGTAGTGTAGTGAGTGCATCACCAGAATGGTCGACGATATCAACAAAATACCCATCTATACAGTACTTTACACCCAGTCATCGCTCTCTCTTATCTTATAGTTGGAGACACAGCAGGCAATATACATGACACCACGCATCCGACCGCCGCCTTAAATCGTACACACCGCCCTCACCCGCATCACATCACCCATATATCATGCACGTCTCTCCCTCTCATCACCTTTCCCATCAGCCATCAGCCATCAGCCATCAGCCATCAGCCATCAGCCTTCCCATCTCTCCCTCCCCGCCTACTCCTCCACAGCCAAAGGCGGAAATATCGTCCCATACGCCCCCTTCCCCTTCTTCCCCACCACCACCTCCCCTCCCTCCCCCCACGTCTTAGCTGTCCCATACCCCAAATCCCCCCCCACAACCGCATCAAAGAACCCTCTCCTCCCCTGCTCCACCCCTAGCACATCTAGAATCTCTCTCGCCTTCGTCGGCATATACGGCTGCAACAGTATCGCCGAGACGCGCAGCGCTTCCGAGGCGTGGAAGATGATGCGCCGGACTTCGGTTTCGCTCTCTGGGGTGCCTTGCTTGGCGATGGTCCAGGGGGCCGTGGATTGGAGGTATTTGTTTGTCTGGAGGGGTGTTAGTAACTGTCCGGAAGCCGAGTTGAAGGGTTGAAAGGGGAACGAACATCGTAAATCACGCGCATAATCTCATGTAAACCCGCCCTCGGATTCAACTCCTCAAAATGCCCATCCACCACCTCTCCCACCCCATGCAACCCCACAATCGGGTTCTCCATCCCCTCAAGCTCCCCCGCCGCCGCAGCCTCCACCGCCGCGGCAACAGACCATGTCTTCGCGCCCGTAACCCTCTGCAGCAGATTCCCCAGCCCCCCAGACAAGCACTTCTTATACCTCTCCACAATATTCGCATTCGCATAATCCGCGTCATCGCTAATCCCCCCATCATGCGCGAGGTAAAAGCGCATAGCATCCACCCCGAACCGATCCATCGCAAAGAAAGGATTCACCACATTCCCCGTCGACTTCGCCATCTTGCTATGTCCCAGCGTCCAGTGAGCGTGCGTGAGCACCTGTTTTGGCGGGGGCAGGTCCAAGGCGAGCAAGAAGGCAGGCCAGTAGATGCAGTGGAAGCGCATGATGTCCTTTCCGATGACGTGGACGTCGGCGGGCCAGCCGGCGACGCCGTCGAAGAAGGAGGCGCTGGGGAAGCCGGCTTTGGTGATGTAGTTAACCAGGGCATCGAGCCAGACGTAGATGGTTTGTGAGTCGTCCTGGGGGACCCGGATGCCCCAGGTGAGTCTGTTGATGGGGCGGGAGATGGAGAGGTCGTCTAGCCCCTCGGAAACCCAGCGCTCGATGTCGCGCATGCGGGTGGCGGGGACGACGAAGTGGGGGTTTTGTTTGTAGAAGGCGAGGAGGGGCTCCTTCAGGGCGGAGAGGCGGAAGTGGTAGTTCGATTCTGCGGTCCACTCTACTTCCTTCCCCGTCTCCTGGGCAGCCATGAAGGTGCGTCCCGTAGCGGGGTCAAGGCGCTTCTCGATGGCCGAGGAGGGGTAGAAAGTCTCATCGCTGACGGAGTACCATCCCTCATGTTTTTTTTCGTAGATGTACCCCCGTTCCTGGAGGAGCTGCCAGAAGTGCTGGACGGCTTCCTTGTGGTCCGGGTCGGTGGTGCGGATGAAGTGGTCGTAGGTGAGGTCTGCGCGCGCGGCGAGCTGCTTGAATGTCTCCGAGACGCGGTCACAGAATTCTTTCGGGTCTTCGTCGGAGATCGAGGCGGCTTGTTGGATCTTCATCCCGTGCTCGTCGGTGCCGGTGCAGAGGATTGCTGACCGGCCTTTGATCTCCTGCCAGCGCTTGAGGATGTCAGTTAGGACCATGGTGTATAAATGTCCTACATGGGGAGCTACAATGCGTCAAGAGATGATTCTTCCACCACGAGTCTTTTGTAAGGTGCGTACCGGCATTGACGTAGAATATTGGGGTGGTAATGTAGTACGGCTTGTCCACAGGCGTCTTCGTGCTGGAGAACCGCGGCCAGACGGCAGCGCCGCTGTTTGTCCTGCAGGACTTGCACACCCAGTCACTCGTCCATAATACTTTTGCCCTCGGCCGGACGGACCGCCGTAGGCTGCATGTGAGGGTGTTGAGATTCATTGCGCGTGCAAATAATTCATGGACCCTGACGATGGCCGAGGCTGGCTGGTTCTTAGGTCGCGATTTAAGGTGCGGCTCTTCTGCTAGCTGGGGATTTTGACAGGGGTGCCACTACGATGACCTACGTCGCTTACCTGGGTTCACGATTCTGTCAGTTGCAATGCAAAAATTAATTAGATATAATAGTAATATATAGCGTTTTAGAAACCAGTAATTCTTACTCGCGACTCTCAGTGACTGTGCTCAGCAGGCAGTGGTTACAAGAACTATCTCAAAAAATTATGGCTCCCGATCACACTGGTGGCCATCATTATCATATTATAACAGTATCATACAGTTTCAAAGAGCCAGTCACTTCAAAATGTAGTCAAAGAGATAAATTCTATTAAATCAAATTGCTGGGATAAATTCTCAGCTACTCACCTTCAGACTACGCTCCCCAGTTACCGGGAGGATTCGAGAAGTCACCAACCAATAATGACATCGACCGGATCGAAATACGGCGAGGCACCAATATTCACTCCAAAGCGAAGAATAGTGTGGGTTCTCGGCTCCTATTGTCAGTATATCGCTTACCGCTTCCTATTGTCAGTTTCTCTTGTCTATTGAGAATTTGGCGGTAATCCGCGCTTAATTGGTGACAATAGGGGTAAGCGCGGATTGCTTCAATTGTCAGCTCCTATTGTCGTCGCTTCCACAATTCGGGTGCCAGCTTCAATATGAAGCTTTGCAAAGACCTCAATGGCAGGAAAGGCCGTATTGTGAGTGTTGCCCCCTATATATTCCTCTCGGAGCTCACATCCTCTCCTTTTTCTCTCTTCTTCCAATTTCTCACACATCGATACAGACCCAAAGCTCCAAAAGCACCAACCACCAACCGCCAACCACCACCACCAACAAATTCGGCAACCGCCACCAACACCACCAACGACAGCCACCACCATGGCACCTCCACCTCACCTCAAGCTCACACTTCCGAGAGCTCCCCCGTCGACCTATACGGGGTCATCCTACACCGGCTCCTCCTCTTCTTCCGCCTCTGTGCTGGACTGCGATGTCCCAATCCCGTCGATCGAGCACGTCGACGCTGCCGACCGCACGGCAAACTGGGTCGTCCAGTCCAGCGGCAGCCGCGCCGGCTCTCCCGGCAACCCTCCTCGACTCTCGGGCTCTCCAGCCTTCACCGAGACCTCGGCTCCGGATCGAGAATCTTCCGCCTCTCGTAGCCGGAGCCTCTCGGACGACCATGGAAGCTCTCGGTCATCGCCAAGCGTTGTCCTGATCTCCGCCACCTCCAATCCCGATGGAGAGAGCGAGATCAAGCGCGAGGCACCCGGGGGCTCCATCTGGAGCGCCAGCCCTCGACCTCCGGCTCGGCGGTCTTCGGTGTCTGGACGCAGCGAACCTGCGCCATCGCAGTCACCTTCCGTCTCTGGATCCGGCGTCTTGTACCCATCTTCCTCGGGTAGCAAGCGCTCCAGAGATGCGGAGGACGATGGTGGGGGTGAGCGGTCGTCGCAGCGCCGCCGTCGCAGCACCAGTCCCGGATTATCTTCCCGACGTTCGTCGGCGGCTTCTCTCCCCGGTGACGCCAGCAACCCTGCGCCGTCGCAGTCACCTTCCGTCTCTGGATCTCGCACCTTGGGTTCGACTCCGTCGGGCTGCAAGCGCTCCAGAGATGTGGAGGACGACGGTGCGGGTGACCGGTCGCCACAGCGCCGTCGGACTGGAGGGTTTCTGGAGGTCGTACTGGCGACCTACCCGCCGGAGCCTGTCGTCACGCCTTCGGATTCGGCCGTTGACGCCGCTGGCACCACCGATCCTGCCGGTCTCGTCGACCTTGTTGCCGCTCCGGCACAGCCAGTTGCGCTGGTTGTCGTCGACGCGGTCAACATCGTCGACATTGAGCCGGTCGTCGGCCCAGCGGCTGCCGTCGCCAATCCGGGTCCTCTTCCCGACCGCGCCGAGACTCGAGTGCAGGCCCGACTCGATGCGCTCTTCGCAAAGAGTCGTGGCCGCCCGCGCGCAGAGCGATCTGCGTTGGTAAGTTCACCCCCACCCCCCCCCGGCAACCTCAAAAACCTTCTTCTAATACTCGCACAGCACCGATCACTCGAGTCGTGGCTCTCGCGGGAAGAGCTCCTCCTGGATCTCCAGGCTGGGAAGCACGCTTGAGGACTTCGCCCCGTCGGGTCAGAGTTCGGTGTCTCTTCTTCGGTGGCCGCGGTTGGAACTCGCTTCTGGCATGTCCGTCAGATGTCGTTTCTCCGCTTCGGTCTCCAAGTTGGACCCGGGCTTTGGCTCGTTGCTTGCGCCCTCGCGGCTCCCAGTCTGCGGATGCCAGCTTTCGGCACCGGCTTCTTCGCTCGTCTCTTTCTTTTGTCTTTCGCTGGCCTTGCTGATGACCTCGCTGTCATCACTCGGTGCGGCTCACGCGCGGCTTCGTCCTGGATTTCGGCACTTTCTCGACTTCGGCACCTCGACTTCGACTCGGCTTCGCCAGCACTGCTGATGTGCCTCGCTGCCATCACTTTGCTCGGCTCTTTCCCTCGGCGTCGACGCGGTTGCGATCTCACGGTGCCTGTCTGGGCGGAGTTTACTTTGCGGTGTCCATTAAGGACCCGCGACTTGTTTCTGGTTTTCGGGGAGTTTACTTTGCGGTGTCCATGAAGGACCCGCGACTTGTTTCTGGTTTTCGGGGAGTTTTACTTTTGCGGTGTCCATGAAGGACCCGCGACTTGTTTCTGTCTTTCTGCGAGTATAGCCGGCGATTTGCTTCTGTTTTTCTGCGCGTATACCCGGTCTGTGGGTGGTGTCCTGGCCGAGAGCCTGAGTCACTTCGTTTCTATATGTTCTTCTTCTGCACGTTCTTCTGCTTGCCTTGATACTCGTTGATACTGCCGGAATGAAAGCTGACTTCTTGCTGATATTACCTCGTCGCTGGTTCGTGCATTTGTGACAATATCACCCAGGATGATGCACTGATTCATATGTGATATGTGACGGCCGCATCTATGTTCGCCGGCCTTGGCTGCTTGAGAAGTGGCACAGGATCTGCATGTCACATTCTCACCTCTCACCGCATTGCCATTTCATCGCCATATGCAGTCTATTCCACACTCCTGACCAGTTCGGTCATCAATAGGAGTCTTCGACGTTGGTCTGCGGGCCTAACCGTATACGGAGTACAGGAGCTAACGATACACCAGCCGTCGGTGTTGGCCAATTACGAAAGCGCAAATTGGATTTTGGTGTTTTGGATGGCACTGTGTGTGCCTTCCGACCACAAAGCTCGAGTTACTACTCGAGTACCTGCTATTACTTCCCCGCTTCTTCTTCTTCACCTTCTTTCCACCCCAACAAACTCTATAATTATTGCTACCATAAGCATTTTATATTCTATGGGGTTCTTTCTGATTTGATATCTTTGCCCGCGTCATCACTTTGTCACAGGCCGAGAATATTCTATTGGGGACTATTTGTGGCCGAGCACATACCGACAAGGCTGAAACAGTGGCCCCATGCTCGCAAAACCCACACAAGAGAGAACAGGACGACGATCATCGTAAGATTCTTCTTCAACTTCACGAATTGAATTGCACCAGACCTACGACACTCGGCCTCGCACGCAGCACACCGCTGTGCATTATTGTCGCCCCTTCCGTGAAGCGGCGAATGTGAAGCACCACCTTCCCACCCAATTCTTCCGAGCCCTCAACAAATAATCACCAGGGCCGAACGCCCTCATAAGGTCACGAGCAGATAGAAATACAGCTATCATGTCTTACGAATCTCCTCCTATTGTCCGCCCGGTCCCCCGACGTCCATTCGACATCAACCTCGCAACCGCGACTCCGCCATCAGAGTCTGAAACTTCAACACCATCGGTACGCCCGAGTTCCCCGAACCACCTCGATGCAAAGTCAGGCAACGGCTACGCCAATGGCGGCTCCGATACCCCGAGCTTAAACCCCACACGCTCGGTCCTGAATCTGACGTCGTCGACGCTCTTTGGGATATACTCGCCGTCGTTCACAGAGAAGATGGTGGACAATGAGCCCGGCACTCCGTTTGGCACCGGCGCCATGACGCCACTGTCTCCGGCTGGCTCTAGTGTGCCTTCCAGACCACGGGCTCGTTCGCTGCATGTGGTTCCTATCACACCACTACATCTCCGAATAGTTGGCCTCACGTTGCGATCAGCCCTTCTCTTTCTTCTCGGCACCGCATACGGGTTGCTGGTGACACACCTCCATAACGAACAGCGCCTCGCGCCTTTCGGCGCTCAAGGCCTGATACAACCAAGCTATGACAAGAAATACCTAATATTCTGGGGTGTGGCGGGCGTGGCGATGGGAAGCGCGCTGCCTTGGTTCGATGGCATGTGGGAGGAATACTTTGGTGAAGAAGTAACAACCAGCGCCATTGGCGGGAAAGTAGTGGATGGGGCCAACGAGGAGGAAGGGGTTGCAGTACAATGGACTCCGGTTGTTAGAAGTATTGGGGCGTTTTTCGGCATTGCTTTTGCTATTGTAGGTACCCCCTCCCCCTGACAGAATTTTGATCAGTGCTAACAAGACACAGCGCAAGCTTGCCTGGACATCTACCCTGCAGGCCTCCCTTACTCTTGCTCTTGTGAATCCATTCCTGTGGTATCTATTGGATCGCTCGAAGCCAGGCTTCGTTCTCTCCGTCACCGTTGGGCTGATTGGGACTACTGGACTACTCATGTTTGATTCCAGTATGGTTCAGAGGCCGCTTGCTGCTCATTCGTCATGTAACAGCACCACGGGCTCTGCTCACACCGGATTCTATGCGCCGGGTGACAACAATGAGTTGTTCGAAAGCGCTGTTTGGGTCATGAGTGTTCTGTTTTGCTCCGTCTTGTGCTTTGGGCACATTGGGAGGAGGCTGGCGCTTTTGAGGCGCAAGTCCAGAGCCGCGCTTCAAAACAACCCGAAGTTCTCTTCAGAATAACTAAGGTTTAGGTTGGCGATATACCCTGGATGAGTTGGCATAAGCATGGCACGGCATAGCGTGTAGGGATAATACGTTGAAGTTCCCTGTAGGGGACTACGAATAGAGGGAATTCTATTCCAAAAAATACGCAGGAAGTACAAGAAGCTCTGCAATATGTACTTCAAAATAATTAATTTACATTGTTTATATATAAGTTCTGTCAGGAGAGATAGGGGCGGTGGGAGTATCATGGATTTGAATAATGTTGTTGCCTTGTAATGTAGGCATCAAGGTTTAAATGTGGTAGTGTCCGCACTAAGCCTAGTGGCGGTTGGCCAATTTGATCTCGCGGGGATGAATTTCGAAGCGCATGTTAATTCCGACCTCATACCTAAAATTCACTCACACGTCGCACTTCCGTTCTCTCTTTCACTACCCTTCACCTCATTGCTTCACATAATACAATAACTGCGATTCATTTCTACACTCATTTCAAGGTTTCTCCGGCGTAGATCGCCCACTCAACCGACGCTTGCTCTCCTGACGTCGCGTTACGTGACTCTGGCCTTTCGCGTCGCGTACATTTCTATCGCCCACGCCGCCCCCAAATTCCACCGATGACCTGACTCCGATCTCCTACATCATAAGAGCGATGGTTGGCGGGAGCCAGGGTTGAACGGATCAGCGAGCACCATGCCGCGCGCCTCGACGGCGGGCTTCTCGGACTTCTTCCCGTCAGCCCCCCGGGCCGCGAAGAACAGGGCCAAGGAGCGCGAGCGCGCAAAGTCGAAACCCCTCGATTCGCCGCTGCTCGATCCCGTGAATGCAGACCGGGATGCGCATATCCCCTCCAGGTCACGCGACGAGTCGGGGCGGGGCAGTATCTCTGGCGCGGCTGGCGAGGGAGCCCGTGATACGAATATACTCGCGCCGACTGATGAGGGAGAGCTGCAGCAGGGAGATTTGCTAAATTGCGTTCGATCTACGAGCTCGCACACAAGCACCGCTTCTTCTGTTTTCAGTACTACGGCGCAGAATACTGGCGCCGCGGCAGCCTCAAATCTAGTCAGTCTCACGCCATTGACGAATGACGACTCATCGCCCATTGGGCAAGTAGCGAGCCCGAGAGGTCACAAAGCGGGCCTCAAAACTCCATCATCTTTGGAGCACGTAGAATCTTCCTCGTCGAAGCACGTGCTTCAAGACACACCACCACCAGCACAAGATATGGCGGAGCTGCAACGAGCACAAGTGCGAGATCGAGATAAGCCCAAGGGCCAGAAATGCGTGTTCGATCCGCAACTCGACAAGTCTGGCATAAAACCAAAACCGAAGGTCAAATATAAGGATATTTCTTGGGTATGTATAAACCACGTGGGGAGCGTCATCTTACGAGTGCGTTGAGTGCTAACGGGTTATTAGGAAGATGACGCTCCCCCGGAGGATCCGCGCCTTGTCGGCGGCGACCGCAAAATCGACATAGACTACACGATGCACGCGAAAGCCCGCCTCAGACATGAGCCCATGCTTATAAGACCTTATCAATTTGACCCGAAGATATCGGTGGGGCCGGGTCCTCCTACGCAAGTGGTGGTTACTGGGTTCGATCCGCTCATGCCTCTACAACTGGTTCTGAACGTCTTTGCGAGTTATGGCCAGGTTCAGGAGAGCAGTAACAAGATGCACCCGGAAACAGGAACGCCTCTCGGAATTGCGACTTTCCGTTACGCAGATTGCGACAAGTCCGGCAGGAAGATGAGCGCTATTAACGCGGCGAAACAAGCTGTGCGAAAGGGGAATGGCGAGAAGGTTGGGGGGACAAACGTCAAGGTGGAATTCGACCGAGATGGTGTCAGCAGTAAACGCCTGGTTACAAAGGTCGTGGCGGATCAGAAGAGGGCCCTTGAACCCGTGGCATCGAAGCCTCACGCGGAAGTGAAAGTTGGTGATGGGGAGAAAACTTTTGGTCCTCCACCGACGGCTCCAAAAGGCCCAGCGTCGTCTTTTGCGGCCAGACCGCCTCTGCGAGGGCCCGGCCATGCACCAGCATTTGTTCCTCGCCCGCCAAGGGATTCTGAGCTCATTGAGCTTACCCCCATCAAACCCCAAATCAAGACCCAGCCTTTCATATTTGTTGGGCACGACTCCGTCCCTGTACTCGGTTCCAGCGTTAAGCATATGAAGAACAAGCTCAATACTTTTGAACTCGAAAACTTGCGCCTGGACAAGACCGGATATTTCATCTTGTTCCCGGATTCCGTCAAGGGTCGGTTAGATGCACAAAGATGCCTCAGACAGGCCAACGGAACGTCCTTGTTCACATATACGATGGTTATGGAGATTTTCATCTTCGGCACCGATGGGAAGAACGAAGACTACAAGCCGCATGCAGAGTGGGGGACAGGGCAAATTGCACCCGCAGACCCCGAGCCTACGAGGTCATCATACAGGCGTCATTCCAGCCCAAGCCGCAGGGTAGAGAGCCATAGGGAAAGCGATGACGCTGCGCAAAGGAAGAAAGATGACGAAATCGACCTTGACGAGGAGAAGAGGCAGCGGGCAAAGAACTTCGACCCAGCAAAGGAGGCCACGGATGTGGTTGTTCGAGAACTGACGGAAAAGTTGATCAAAGACTTGAAGATCAGAGTTGCAGCCCCTGCGCTTTACTCCTACCTTGATCCCGACAACCACGTTGCCAAGAGACGACGTTTGAACATCGCAGATCCAGCAGACTCCAAGCCACCGCCTGCTTTCTTAGATGACTATGACGAGGATACTACACCTGTGGGCACTCCCAATTCAAGGGCTGAAATCGTCGATAAACGCCTGCTCAAAGCGGGTAAGCTCGATATCACTGCTCTCCCTAGGATTCGAAAGGCGCAGGGCCGCGTATCCAAGAAGGCGGTTCTGGTGGCGGAAGCCAGAGCTAAGGAGAAGAAACGTGGCAAGCTGCGCAAGAGAGAGACGGTTATCCAGCCTGGTCGGCACCCACACCGTCTGCATGATTTCCATACCGACCGTGACGATTGGGATGACGATAATGAAGACCGAACCTCGGCCCGCGATACGGAGGAGCCTGAATCGAGACCGCGAAGCAGGGTCAGCTCGGACGATGAGGATGAACAGTCGGAAGATGATTCGTTCTTGCCCAGGTCCAAGCTGCGCGAGTCGCATGAGGCGCTGGTGGACTTCGATGATTCTATGACCGAAGCCAGCGTTGCCGCCTCAGATTCTGCGCCAACGAAGAAGAGGAAACTAATCCCGAAGGCCGATACGGTCACTAAGCGCCAGAAGAAGTCAGGCGATGCGATCTTTGAGGTATCCGCCCACAAGATCGGCAGTGAAGATCCATATGCGGATGATATTGCCATGACAGACGGTGACGAGACGCCACTCCTTGATGAAAACAGCGAAACCCCTCTTCCCGACGCCGCAGCAGCTATTCTCAAGAAGAAGGGTCTCAAGCCTATCAAGAAGAGGAAGACCAAGAAGCAGCTCTTTGAGGAACGTGAGGCCCTGAAGAAGCAACAGGAGGAGATGGAGGAGTTGGTGGAGGAGGAAGATGAAGAAGAGGCCGTTGATTCCGACGCTGATGCCGATTCGGACATCGATGTCATCTACGAGGTTGATCCTGTTGTGGACATAGACCTTGAATGGGGTACGCCCACAGATGTTCCTTTGTCAACAGTCAACGACGACCCCAAATTAGTCCTAGATTTGGCTGGTCTCAAGCACCTTGCCCTGGACGACGAAGACGAAGAAGCTCTTCGCTCGGCACTAGGCGATGGACCAAAGGTCGAGATTGGGAGCGCTCCGACATGGGCTTGGCAACAAATGGAATCACGGGCTGCCAAAGCGGGTGGCTATAGGGGGGCAATCACCAGCCCACTTTCCATCAACGGTTACTACGTGCCTAACGAAACTGGATCTGCGAGAACTGAGGGAACAACAAAGATTCTCAACTCGGAGAAGTCAAAGTATCTCCCACATCGCATCAAGGTTCAGAGAGATCGTGAGGAACGCCAAGCACGAGCTAAGAGGGATGGAAAGGAGGATCCCTCAGAAGATGCCCAAGCTACTCAAGCTTCTGCCGACAAGCTCGTCTCGAAGGATTCCTCGCGCGCCAACCGCGTCAACAACCGCCGCTTCGTTGCTGACCTGAATGACCAGAAGAAAACACTCGGTGGTGAAGCTGACGCCCTGCGCTTCAACCAGCTCAAGAAGCGTAAGAAGCCCGTCAAGTTTGCTCGTTCTGCTATCCACAACTGGGGCCTGTATGCTATGGAGAATATTGCGATGAATGACATGATCATCGAGTACGTAGGCGAGAAGCTGCGTCAGTCGGTCGCGGATCTCCGTGAGCGTATATATCTCAAGAGCGGCATCGGGAGCAGTTACCTCTTCCGTATCGATGAGAACACCGTCGTGGATGCGACAAAGCGCGGTGGGATTGCGCGATTCATCAATCACAGCTGCATGCCGAACTGCACGGCGAAGATTATCAAGGTTGAGGGAACACGTCGCATTGTCATCTATGCCCTCCGCGATATCAAGCTGAGTAAGTCGAACCCCATTATTACGGAATAGAGGCATATACTAACGTGAACTGCAGACGAGGAGCTCACCTACGATTACAAGTTTGAGCGCGAGATCGGCAGCGACGATCGCATCCCGTGCTTGTGTGGCACAGTCGCCTGCAAGGGCTTCCTCAACTAAAACACCCTTGTTCCCTTGTTTGGATCTATCATGCATGCATTGCTCGGCGCCGGCGGGTAAATCCAGGGAGATGGGGCGCATGGCGTTTGGTCTTCACTTTTGTCTCTGTCCGTGGTGTGGTTGTTGCGGGGTGGGGTGGTTGGTGATTTTGACTACTACTACTACTAACCAGCCTTCACCCAAGGGTGAAGTAATTTTGTGGTCATTTTTTTTTGCGTGTGTGGTTATAGGAATATGGGAAGGAGGGTGTAAAGTGCATGATGGTGGGGGGGCGTATATATGTGTATTGTACTATTAAGACTGCATTGCAGTGCAGCACTGGGGGACTACTACGGAGATCTTTCAACAGGGTTTGGGCGTCCAGCGACCTCAACATAGGACATGAGGCGGAGTCAGGGCCTGAAGGTAGAAAGGAAGGCATTGTAGAACATGATCTTTGTTCTTGTGCTTGTGCTTGTGATTGCTCGTTTCTGATATGTTTGATGTGATTTTTCGATCTATACGCTTTTTCCTGGTATTCGGCATACAATCAACCCCATTCTCTATCATCCTCCCAAGTTATTTATGCATGCATTCACTAAATCCCAGCCCAACGCCCAACGCCCAACGCCGCCCTTATTCTCCTTCATATCCCTCTGTCTCCGCATCACCCCTTAGACCAAGTGATCGGGAAGCAAGAAATTCGCAACCCCTTCCCTCACAACGTACTCGTGTTCGCAGTTCGCGCATACCAGCTTTCCAGCGCTTATCTGCGTCTCCATCAGCAAGACATGCAGGTCCTTCAGCAGCTGCTCATCGGTAGCGAGGTCCTCTGGCGCCGGAGCGGTGGGTGGGAGGGCGGGGAGTCCGAGCTGGGGCGTGTTAGTTTCCTATCTTTCGCCTGACCAAAGTAAGGAAGCGCGGGGGGTCGGAGAGTGCTTATAGAAAGGGACGGGAGAGACAAACCTCAGCAGAAATAGTAGACAGCGCATCCCAATCCAGACGCGGCAGCAAGTTAGCCAACAACTTCGCGTTCGTAGGCAGGTCCTCGGAGACGAGCTCGGCGTCCTTGGGGTGGAGCGGGAAGGAGGCTGAGGAGGACTTGCAGGCCTTGACGGCGCAGGTGAGGAAGTTGAGGGTTAGGACCTTCATTGTTGCGGGCGCGCGGTGGTGGGAGGGGGGGGGGGTGATGGGTTGGCTGGGATATGGGAAGCTTTTTTTTTATGGATGGGAGTGTGGGGTTGGGCGACAAGATATGGGTGGGCACGTGATGGTGGGGGGGGTTTGAGTGGTGGTGGTGTATGATGGTTTTAATTTTTTAATAATTGATTTCTTGCTGCTTCTTGTGTCTTGGACTTAAAGATTTGGATGGTTTTATCCCATACGATTTATGTCAATCGAAATAAAGGGGAATGGCTAAATTTGCAGATATGTTCAGTAGTATAGATTGCACAGTGTCTCAAGAGAAAGCGCTCTCTTGAACCTCTGGATGGTCTTGTAGATATAGGTCCTACTTGGGAAATATACTTGATTGGGAGCCCTAGAGTAGCGTATTCTTGGAATTTAGCAGTTTTCTTTTTTATTTAAAATAAATTTATTTGATCTCGTTCGGATTTATTATTTAAAATCGAAGTAAAAAAAACCCAGTCACGCACGGTATTAGTTATTAATTTTTGTCCGTCCAAAATATTAATATTGCAATATAAATACATGCCCTACCGCCACTCCAACGAGTACAATAGTTTATTCTGTTCGTCTATGAAAGGCTCATTGTTTGTTCAATAACCAGAGATCCTTTGATCATCAATGATGTATAGGCCCCTCCCTGTCAACTCTACCCGGCACCAAGAAACCTTAAATTTTCTGAGCATTTTCCATCCAGAAACTTTTTCGCGATAAGCTCCAAAAAGTCAACAACACAACCCAAAACCACAATAAAACGAACAAACATAATGGCAAAACGCAAGCGGAACCAAAACCTCACCGCTGCGGCGGCGCCGGTAGAGGAGCCAATATCGGCCCCTAAGAAAACCAAAACCGTCAATGACCCAAAGCAAGCCAAACCTACGAAAGCAGGTGCCAAATCATCTGCACCTGGAAGCAACCTCACAATCCAAATCATCACCGGCTCCTACGACCGCATCCTCCACGGGATTACCGCCACCCTCCCCCCCACCGAGGCCGCCACCTTCTCCGACACCTTCCTCTTCACAGCACACACCTCCGCCATCCGCGCCCTCGCCCTCTCCCCCCCCTCAGCCCCAACCCCCAACCAGCCGCAAAAAATCCTCCTCGCAACCGGCTCCACCGACTCCCGCATAAACCTCTACCACATCTCCGCGCACCCGCCGCGTAAACACACCGTCCCCGCCCTGCCCGGACTCAGCTCCCGCGCCGTCGTCGAGAACCCAGCCAACCGCGAGCTGGGCTCCCTGATGCACCACGCCGCTGCTGTTACGGGGCTGTGCTTCCCGACTCGTGGGAAGCTGCTTAGTAGCGCCGAGGACTGCACGATGGCTGTGACTCGCACCAGGGACTGGAGTCTGCTCTCGTCTATCAAGGCGCCGGTGCCGAAGGCGCAGGGACGGCCGAGTGGAGATACAGCGCCGGTTGGAGGTGCGCCGTCGGGCGTGAATGCGTTTGCTGTGCACCCTAGCCTGAAGCTGATGCTGAGCGTGGGTCGGGGCGAACGCTGCATGAGGCTGTGGAACTTGGTGACGGGCAAGAAAGCTGGAGTGCTGAATTTCTCGCGTGGAATGCTTGGAGAGGTGCACGAGGGTAGGTTTGGGAGCGGAGAGGGACGTCGCGTGGCGTGGGGGAATACGGCTGGAGGCGAGGAATTCGCAGTTGCGTTTGAGTGGGGTGTGTTGGTGTTTGGAATGGACTGCAAGGTGCGGTGCAAGGTCCTACCTGATAGGCGCACGAAGATCCACGAGGTGCGCTATGTCAAGCGTGACGAGGAGGGAGAAAAGATGGTACTGGCGCTCAGCACTGAGGACGGCCGGATTGTGTTTTTCTCCACGGATCCAGCGGACTTGGTTGCACCGGGAGCTAAGGAGGGAGATGACGCTTTACCTGCGGCGAAGATTCTTGCGCAGCTCGGTGGGAAGGATGCCGGCGTGACTAACAGGATTAAGGATTTTGCTGTCCTGCCGCTTGAGGAATCCGGCTCGGTGATCATCGTGACGGGGTCTTCGGATGGAGCTGTCAAGCTGTGGAGGCTGAAGATGGCGGATGTGCTTGGTGGTGCTGGTGGACTAGTGGGCGAGATGGTGGGAGATTATGAGACAGGGAATCGGGTTACGTGCCTTGTTGCGTTTGTGATGCTGGACCTCCCAGACGGAGCGAGCGACGACGTGCTGGAGGAGGATGAGGATGAAGAGGAGGAGGAGGAGAGCAGCGACGATGAGTAGTGTATAGGATACCCGACCTATGTAGGCGGAGAGATGGCCGTTTATATAATCTGTGGTTATTTATGGCTTGTGATCCAGCTGCGCCTATATGCGGCCTGTCTGAGGCATATAATAGCTAATTCGAACCATCACATATCTCCTACAAATCTCCTATAAAACTAACCGCTATATTGAAGAGTTGGATCCCGCTTGGATCCATATATACATAGAGAGTCATGAACTTCGCGTTGTGTATAAAGGTAGGCGCAAGGACACCGAATCCAATCATTCACCACACCCGATTTAAGTTATTTAAGAACTCGCTATGGGTTTGCTTCCTTGGCTTCAGCCGGAATATATTTCGAGAGTGCCCGCGTACCCAAGGCAAAGGGCAAGACACAGCACTTTGCTCTCACGGCAAGATCATGGTGGTGACAGCAAACTCCGCCGGTAGCGGGGTGCAACGACAGCACTGGAATAGCGCTGACAGTATTGCAATAACGGTGACATGGGCTCGATTATACCACAGATATGATAGAGGCCACAAATATAACCTCCTTGGCTATCTTTTCGAGCTTCGCCTGTCCTCCGCAGCATTATCAATGATCTATTCGATGCTCTTGCGATCCTTTTCATTGTGTATGCACCTTTGATATATAGGGTTGCATATTTCGGGCCATTTGTTTTCATGATATTTTATTCATAATCCGATGACAGAACTACTTGGACCCCCCGCTATGAATACCATTTATTACAACAAAAATACGAGTAGCCATGAACCGGGTTCTCAGACAAACTGATAGCAATTGTATACAGCTCATCCCCGGCAACTCAGGACAATTTCCTTGTTTGCCATACCTATACCTTTACGCCATGCATAGCCCCTTACAAATTCAAGGTCATCACGAACTCCTCTTCTTCTTCCTCCGCCTCACCCCTCATACACTCTGGTAGCCCCGAATTAGCCCCAAAGCCCAGATCATCATCATTGATATCGAAAGCTCCCAGAAATCCCAACCTGCTGCTCTCTTCTTCTCGCTTCGCTCCATAACGCGCAGGCGTGATCGTCTTATCTGAGACAGCTGACAGATTGCTCAGCGAGCGCACTGGTGTTGAAGGCACTGTAGACACGGTGCCATTGGACAGTGCTGTTGACGCGAAACGGCCCTTCTTGTAGCCCATGGTGCTGCGCGAGGCGGCGCTGGCAGACGCGTTGCGCATCGTTGAAGGCTGGATGGCAGGGAGTGGCGGGTTGGAGCCGCAGAGGAGGAATGGCGCGGGCTTCTTGGTTAGGGGGAGAGGACGAGATGGCTTTGTTGAGGTAGTGGTGTGCTTTGGTGCCAATGCGAGGGCGGATGCGGCGCGGCGGGATGTAAGCGTTGCTGGGCCTCTGCTGGGCAATGCAGATGCGTTTGGTGGGAGCTGGGCGGAGACTTCACGGCGTTCTTCGGTGGGTTTCTTGCGTTGAACTTTGGGAAATGTCTCTGGGACGTCGTGGACAACACAGGGGTCCTCCTCGACTGCTTTGAGGATCTTATCATCAGTCGCCTTCAACGATCTAGCGAGCTCCTCTTCGAACTCCCTCTCTCCTTTAGATACACCATTTGCATCCACGGGGTTGTAGTAGCGTGTGTGGAAGTCCTTTCTCTGATTCTCTCGCTTCACGATGCTGTAGTCCAGGTGTCCGTTGGGGAAGTCTTCGTTCTCGTAGGGAAGGTCTTTAGATTTAGGTGGGCAGTATTCGACCTCTCGTTCACCCAATGGGTCTGGCTCGTCACCGTGGATTTCCAATTTGATAGTATCGACGTGGCTAATCTTTTGCCTTAATGGTCGAGTGCTCGTTGGCCTGATCTGAGTCTTCTCGGGACCTTTGTCTATCTCAGCTCTGGCTGGAGTTTGAAACGCCTTCGCCTTTGCGTTTGTCGTCTTCATCCCAAGGGGTGCGCGAGTCCGAGGACCTATTTTATGGTCAGCAATAAATCCATACGGTCAGCATTTCCGTATCGTACCCATTGGAGTTATGAAGGCATTCTTGTCGAGACCTGTGCCCTTCTTCCCGCCAGTAACTAGGTTCTCATTGCCCTTGCCCTTCGTTTGAAGGACACTCTTCTTTCCGAAGCCCGTCGGCGCATTTTCGTCGTGCAGAGGTATCTTGAGTGGCGTCCTGGGGTATCTGTTCCCTGGGGTCTTCGGTGGTGCAGCTCTTGTGCCTTGGTTCAGTGGCTTCGAAGCAGCCAGAGCTTGCTGGCCATGGACCAGATTCTCCTGGTCCCGAGCTGCTAACATTGTGAATGGTTTGCTGCTCAATGGAGAATTGCTTATAGTGTAAATGTCATGGCGATGAGAGACAATTTTGTGCAAGTATAAGGTATCTCGGTAGTTTAATGAGGTGGTTGATGAGGTTGTCGTAACCTGAATGGGGACCAGCCAAGGCTTGTTTTCCTTATGTGGGGTTGACATGGCAACAACGATGTGCCTCCCAAAATTAGTAGGGGCAACCCCTGTTGGCTAATCAGCAGCTCTTTCGGTTGCGATACTCAACCCCCTCATCCAACATCACCACCTGAACCTTACGATAACTACCTTTCCGCTCTTACATTTGAAATTTCATACCTGACCATCTCTACTTCAACTCCCCGCGAACTTCCAAAAAACCAGCCACCATGGATCGCATCAAGGAAGTGAGTTGCCCACTCCTGTCTGTTTCCTTACCGCCTAGAACCCCGCCATGTCACCATTGAGACCACATTCGTATTGTCTCACGAGATATCAGCGCGAGCACATCCAACACTGGCCTTGCTGCGTCTATAATATGACCTAGCTAATGCAATACTCAGAAAATGAACTCTCTCCGCATCGAGGCGGATGAGGCAACTGCGAAGGCTCAAGAGCTCCAGGAGAAGGTCAAGACGCTTGAGCAGGAGAACTTGGCCAAGGAGCAGGAAGTCACATCTCTTCAACACAAGAACGGCTTATTGGAGGCTGAGGTAGAGAAGCTGGAGACACACAACAAGGAGATCAAGGCTACAGCTGAGGAGAGCACCCAACACGGCCACCAGAACGAGACCCTGCAGCGCCGTCTCCAGCTCCTTGAGGAGGAGGCAGAGGAGGCAGACAAGAACCTGCGCGAGACAAATGACAAGTACGTTGGAGACCTCTCAGCCGCTTTGCATCCTATTTTGATGGTGTGGAAGAGTACTGATAAAATTTACAGGCTCCGTCAAACAGACGTCAAGGCTGGCCACTTCGAGCGCAAGGTTAAGGCGCTCGAGAACGACAGAGACTCATGGGAGGCGAAATACGAGGAGATGGCTGAGAAGTACGCCAAGGTACAGAAAGAGCTGAAGGACTTCCAGGACGAGATTGGCCAAATCTAGTATCAAGGGCCACGACCTACCTTCCCGTTTTACGCGCGTCACATTGCGATTTCAGTTTAGGCAGTAATCACCCGGCGGTTCACACCGTTATTCCTCATATCGCTTATGTCTTTACGACTGTCCGCCATAGAAGTTCCTGTTACTGCTGTTTGGGGTGGACGAGCTTCTTCCTGTAATCACAGGCCACTTAAAACAGATATCACGTTTCCAAAACTATGATATTATTCGTGTCGTGACTCTTAATCGTCGCCTCTCCTAGCGCTCGCCTGCTTCTTATTCGAAGACTTCTGTTTCGCCCTGCCAATCTTCCGCTCGATCTTAGACTCGTACCTGAACGGCTTCTTTTTATCCTTCTTCGGCCACTGCTTCTTGGGATTTGCCTTTGCAAACTTCGCCGCCTTGGCCGCCTCCGCTGTCTTCTTCCTCCCCTCTAACTCTGCCTCCTCATCCTCTGCTGCTGTATGTAATCCATCTTTTGACACGCCTACCTCCTCCACAGTCACCGTCGTAAACCGATCCTCATCAATGTATTCTTCTTCGTGATTGATTGGCTCCGCCGGCGCTTCTTCCTTTATGCCATCCCACTCCCCATCCTCGCCGGATTCCTCATGATCTAAGAAGGGAGACTTTGATTCCGCTAATATCGCATCGACGGCAGCGACGTGCGCTTTCAGCTCTTGTGTTCGTTCTTCTCGTAACTGAGGACATTAGAAAACATCCTCTACGTGAAGGCGACAGCGTATTTACCTGTTTCCTCTGCAGGATGCGCTCCTCCTTGGCCTTTTTCTCGTTCTCTGCCTGCGCCCTCTTCATACGCTCCACCTTGCGCTTGTGGAAACCGGTCAGATAGTCTGCTCTGGCATCGACGTCGAAACTGATCTCCTCGATTGCAGCATTTCTCTTTCTTTTCTTTGGTTGCGGCGGTAACGTCGACTTTTTCGGCCTCGGCACGACGAAATGCTCTGATGACATTATGGCAATATATTGGTGGTTGATTTATAAATTTATTTTCATGGTCCTATCTCGTCTTGTATCTATCCATAATTTCTCGATTCTGGGGACCAACCGATAAGCTTTGGTGGCGGCCTGAGATATTAGGGTGACACTAGACACCTCCAGACGTATGTGCCTATCATGGGTCTTTGGATGCTTCAACGGAGGTAGAGAAGCTACAAGACACAGCCACCAGAATGCGCTTCTCTACAGCTGGAACGATTGCGGCTTGCATAGCTGCAGCGAGCGCCTTTAAAGATACCTCGCCATTCCTCCTCTTCTCGAACCAAGAGTGCGTATATCCAACACGGTTTTGCCCATCTCCAACTAACCAAACGCAGCATCTGGGCTTCTCAAGAAGCAGGCCAAACAGAACGCCTATCCGACCTCAACCAGCTCGACTCTGCAAGCGCGGTGACGACTTCCCTTGTTAACAGCTTGGTTTGCCTACCCGTCGAGACCCTCCTCATCATCGTCCAACCCGACGCCAATGCCGCCGACTACAGCAGCAAGACAACTGCGCCCCACCTGCGCAAGGCACTGAAGAGCAGCGTTGACGATGGGCCGGTATATGTTGGCCTCAACGTAGCGGAGGTTGTAGGAGCCGTGGATGTGGATGGGCTGCAAACAGCCGTGGAGGCTTCGTGCGGCTTTGGGTTCCAAAAGGCGGAAGCTTATGGCGAAGACGGTGTTGCGAAGATCGACTTCATTCCAGTATCAGACAAGGAATCAGCAACCGTGGGGATTAGGATGGACCTGCGACCGCTGTCGGATGAACCGGCACAGCGTGTTCGCCAGCTTGCGTATCACGGTTGGTACCCTTTTGCGCTTCGTTGAAATTCACTCACTGATGTGTTCAGATGTCATTTTGCAAGAGTTGCTGGCCCAGTTAAAGGGACGTAGCTACGCCGTTCTCTTTGCCACGACACCGGTAAACTCCAAGACCCCCGCTCCCGTCGTGCACGACAGTGTATCCGATGTCCCCAACTACGAGTCTGAGTTCCAGGAGCCGCTGCATTCAGAGATCAAGCGACAGACAGGGGCTATGCGTCGCTCAGATGGCGGCAAGACGGTGGACAGGAGGCCGCTTTTCGAGAAATACCAATTCTTTACACCAGGTATGAATTTACCCATTCTCTTTGAGGGACTGCAGCTAAATACATATAGGAATTTTCATGGGACTAATGGTGACGCTCCTCCTTGTGGCTATCCTCTCTGTGGGTATTAGGGGTATCGCTGGTCTGGAGGTGTCTTACGCCGCGTTCGAGAAGGAGATGGGCCCTGCGGCACAGAAGAAGGTGCAGTAGAGTGAGACTTAATTTATGGGAATGTGGTATACCATGTGTACAAGAGCGAGTTGTATTCTTAGTTTTTGAAGCAGCGGCCGTATGTGCTTGCTCGGAGTTGGTGGGATTCCTAGAATTACAATATGAGATCTGCAAGCGTCTGATCTACTCCATGTTTGACAGCAGGGCGAGGAACTACTGATGTCTTGTGATTGATTATATTTTCCATTTTTACAGTCAATAGATGCTGTTCCCCTAATCTCCCTGATGTCGTTCAGGGTGTAACCATGGCCCTTTTCAACGCCCAAAAACTCCGTACGCTATGCCTGTAAACATAGCCTTTGAAAATCGTATCCCATCCTTCGTTCTTGCATTCCTCTATTTCTCTGGTGCGTCGGGCAACCTCTCAATGACATACTTTCCTCTCGCCACGCTCATAATCGGGACACCGGGAATCTTCCTTACTGCTATGTATCAGTATCATTCTGCCAGCAGTGTTTAGGGTATGGGGGCTCTTCTTACTCCTCCGCTTAAGGTCCAAATCGTTCGTTGCCACAATATAAACCTTGTTCTTCATCACACGATCCACGATGCAGTCATCCGCATACACGCCCTTATGATCGCACTGAAGCCTCTCCCACCTCTCATCCCTCGCTATCCGCAGCGCAATCCTGTACTTCGGTCCCAGCTTCTCAAGCTCAGCCATCACGCAAGATGTAATTATAGGCGTACACTTCGCGTAGAGCGTGTCCATCATAGACTCGAGCAACGGCAGCTTGCGCTGGACGGTATGCGATAAGAAATTGGTATCGACGAGAACAGAGTAGGGCGGTACGAGGGCGGTATTGTACTGGAAGAAGAGGGCCGAGGAGACCTGGGGAATCTGGCGAACGACGGCGACTTCCTTCTTCTTTTGGCCTTCGGCAGCGGCGTCGACGTTCTTCTTGAGGCGCGCATCGCGTTGGCCGATGAGGCGCTTGACCTACGGACTGTTAGACAAATTGGTTTGCTGAGGAGCTGGAGAGAAGACCTACCTGGCCGAACTTGCGGGTTTTCTTTGCGACGCCCATGGTGGATTGTGTGTGCGGGGTGAAGGAAGGAGCGTATAGGTGGTGGTGGTGTTGGAGTGTGGATAGACGTTTTCAATATTTCTTAATCGCGATAGTGAGGCCGATAAGTTAGCGACATGGGGGAGAGTGATACTGTAGATTCTTTTTCTTGTGTTGCCAACGCTAAAGTGTCACCCTCACACTAAAAATAGCGGGTACGCCGTACTTGCTTCTGAGGCACAAGTATTCCCATCCAAGACAGGGGACCAACGCCAACTTATCCAAGTTTTCATCCTTTCGCTCACCCTCTCACCTCGATCAATAACTTCACTTTCGCCTTATGTCCAGTCGACTATATTGAATAGCGCATACTCTATCCCTTGTATCTCTCCGACGCTCGTTACTTTTCAACGTCTTGATCTATTTACATTCGCCCTGTATTACCCACGCCTTGAAACCGCTGCGTCAACCCCTTAAGTGACCGAGACACCTGGAATGCCTCATCGATCGACAGAAGACATTCATCGAAGGCATTGACATCTGTGACGCTGGCGCTCGATCGCGACGATTACCTGCCCAGCGGCCAGGCCCCTTATTGCCGTCGCCAACGACAACACAGCCCCCACCTACAGACCAAAGACCGCAAAGGCCCCGAGTCGAGGCGACAACAACACAAGCCCAGACGTTTCCGTGGTCTACAACGACCTCTATTTGCATATTGGATAGCAATCGGACTTCCTTTACGGAATATACACGGCCATGCAACTGTTTCGTGGACGACAAGTGGCTATAGCCCTACTGTCGACGTTGTTGGTATCATCAACCGCATACGCCCAGAACCAAAAGTCAGATACGGCGGCGGATACTGGGAAAACAGACGCCGCAAAGACTGATGCGGCTAAAACTAGCGAGACCAAGAACAACACCCCAGACCAGACAACGGCGCCGACAAAAGGCAATACCAACAAACCCTCAGAAACAGGAAACAACAACACTCCCACACCGACCCCAACATCAGATGCTGGTGCGGCCATAACAGGAGGCAGTACCGGCACAAATGATGTCAAGGTTCCCCAGAGCACCATCACAGACGCCTCGTCCGCGGGTGATAGTGCCCCTGCGGCGACAGACCTGCCCCAGATTCCAGGTGGTTACAAGATTCCCGTAGCACAAGTTCCTGCGACACTCAACGCACCCTATATGCAGGTGTCCAAGCTCCCTGCCGGCACGGTCTTCATCGTCGTGGGTGCCATCCTTGGTTTCCTCGCTCTAGCCGTCGTCTTGTGGCGCGGCCTCACAGTGTGGGCTCTGAAGCGTTCCGTAAAGCGCGCTGCCAAGGGGAACAACGTTCAAGACACCAAGGCCCTTCTCAACTTGCGCCCACCCGCCGCACCGGTATACAACAGATACTCTGACCGCGATTCGACCCTCTCCCTCGCCAATCTCCGCAAGAGCCCCAAGCCAACGCGGCCCACAACATCAAGCGGCGCCGCCCCTGGCCAATCTCTCTTCTTCTCTCCCACCGCCGGTGGCTCTAGCATGCTCAACCCCGGCAACCGCAACTCCGGCTACCTCCCCTCAGGCTACTACGCCGCCGGTGCATCAGCACCCGGAAACGGATCTGGCATGGCACACCTGGGCGGCAGCAGACTCACTGCTCGCGAGGCAATCTCGTTGTCGAATCTTGGACCTCAGGCGAAGGGATACGCACGCGCGCAGAGTCTCGGCACTACGCCGCCAGATAGTCCACGTGTAGGACCGGCGCTAAGCCCGGGGCCCCAACACGGCATGCATTTGAGCACGAGCACGTTGGATCTGACGCAGAGACCTGGCGGGAGGGCGCCGAGTGCCTACCTTGAGGATCTGTTTGATGAGGCTGGGGCTGCCCCGGGACATTATCCAGTGAATCACCCGAATTATCAGGGACCCGCAAGGTAAGCTCTGAGCGGTTGATAAGAAAGAGAGTTTAGGGAATGCGAAGGCATGTATCTTGAAGAGGAGGGTGAGAAGGGTTGGAGGGAGTGGATTGAAATCTTACGAGTTGCACAAACGCATTCATTGTAATCGGGGGAAGTCATGGAGTTCGTCTACATGCATTACCTCGCTGGGCCCCTTTCCCCTATCTGTTTGGGCCGGGTGGCGGAGGAGCTTTTTCTGTCCTAACGGCGTGGTTAGATTTATTTGGCGGTTGGTTTGGTCGCTCTGTTATGGGTAGATTGCGCGGACACGCGGAGGAAAAATGGTGGCTTAATGATTGTATGGCAGGGGGGGTTTGGAGAGTGTATATATCATAGTTGAATGGAAGCACATGAGCAGCTTAGACCGTTGGAGTTATTTGAGTCTCGAGTTTTGTATTTTAGCGACCAATCTATATAATAAGTCTAGTGTCTGGTATCATTTTGTTTTCGTTGCTCGTGCGCTACGGTTGACGATGTTCTTCCATATCTCCCGGAATGATACTCACAGTGCTCCCTCCCGCCTCTATCCAACCCCGGCAGCAGTTCTCAGCGCCTCCTCTCCCTATCCCGATCCCTATACTCCCTCCCATCTCTATCATCTCTTCCACCATACCTCTCATCCCGCTCTCTCCTCTTCTTATCCTCCCTCTCTCGATATTCTCCAGGCTTCTCCCGCCTCTCCTTCCTCGCTCCAGTATTCAATCTCTTCACATCGCTCTTTTGCACCCACGCCCCAAGCTCCTCAGCCCCTTTCAGCTCCCGCGCCCCCAGACCAAGTAGATTTAACCGCCGCTTCCCCTCCTTTGGCGTCGCCACTTTCTCCCCTTTCCAACCCATGCCTCGGAGCAGCGCTGCCCCGAAATCCTCAACCGGCATGTCTTCGTAATCCTGAAGCGTGGAGGCATCAGGCGCTGCGGCAATGGCGCGCTGGTATGCATCCCCATCGCTAATAGGAGCCTCATACGTTGTGTCTTCCGTGGACGCAATAACAAGATCAGGGCGCTTGACCTTGTCCGAACGCCCCAACAGCGCATCAAGCGCACGATCATCATCCGTCTTCACCTTCTCCACCAGCGCCTCCGTCGGCTCCGGCGACGCAGACCTAGGCGGTTCAACACCCTCAACCACATCCTTCTCCTTCTCCTCCTTCGATGTTAGTGTCAACCCCCATTTAATCTCCTCCCCCCCCTGCACCTCCGTCTCCCCTTTCCCCTCAGCAGCCCTCCTCGCCCCCTCGCGCTGCGCCTGCACCTCAGGCGGAAGCACGTTCTTCCCACCCCTTCGCTGCCGGGCCTCAGCACGCCAGTCGCGATTAGGCAGTTTCTCGATGATGGGCGCGCTGCGCGTGTGTCGCTCGCGCGTCTCTGCGCCGGAGGCACCGAAGGCGGTTACGGCGACGGGTTCGGGCTCGCGGTCGGAGTCGGAGTCAGAGACGTGGTGGAGGGGGGGGCGGGGGCGTTTGCCGAGGGAGGAGGGAGGTTTGGTGGAAGAGGGGCGCGAGGAGGGCGTCGAGCTCGACGGCTTGGAGGCGAGGGAGAATTTCTTCATGGTGAAGGGGCTGGGGGGGCCGCTGTTAGAGGAGGACATGGTGGTGGTGGGCGCGTGAGGATGGTGATGTGGGTGTGGCGGGCCGCTGTTCGCGGGGGTAGAGACACGACTCGCTGTGGAGAGCGCGTGTTTGCGAATGGGTGAGAGCGATGGTGCTGGTAAGGACGAAGCTGGCAATGATTATGGTTGTGGATGGCCTCGAGTGAATTTCGGAAATGTTGCCTTCCAAGGTCAAGGTGTTTGTCCTGTTTGAACAGAGAACGGAGTAAATATATTCCGAGGTACAGGGGTACCGACGGGACCAAGCTCCATATCCAAGCTTCATACATGTCCATAACGATTTCCATATATTTGAAAAACCAAAGTTCCAAAGAAACCATTGCAGCTATGTTGCTCTGAATGGTTGAGTGCTATGATACCTACGACATAACTTTACGATTTCATTAATGGACCTATTTTGAGACGACAGCTCTAAGAAAGCATGGCGGCACCAAAAGCCTTGGGGCAATCGATTGCCAACTTCGCCCGCGACGGAGTGTTTCCGGGAGATGAAGAAATCTCCAAAAGTTATGTAGAAGGGGAAGCTCTTGCATTGGCGTTGCAAGCCGTGACTGCAGCTAGGTCTGCTCTGGAGGTTAGTGTTACGAGGAGAGCTCTTTGGCGGGGTAGAAGCTATTACGGGAACAACGGCTAACGAACTTTGTAGGATGAGATTCGAAAAACTAGTCGCGACAGTGCGCCAGAAGTCGATACCTGGATCACGAATGCACATGCCCTCCAGGAAGATATCGAGAACTCCAAGAGCCTTGCTGAGGACATTGCTCGCGATGCAGAAGGTGGAGATGCGTTGCAACGGGCAGCGAAGGAAGACGCTGAACATGTCGAGTTTCTTGAGAAGGAGGTCCAATACAATACACAGCTGAAAGAGGCGCTGGGAGGAATTCAGGATGTCCAGAGAATGCTGGATGGGGCTGAAGGCGCAGGTGTTCAAGGCAGACTTCTGGAAGCTCTGAATATACTTGCGCGTATGTTAACCTGGAACTTTGTTTTGGATTGCAACTGACCTGCTTCAGAATCATGGGAGAAGATGGAAAATATCCCCACACATGAATTCACTCGGCCGCTATCAGTATTGAATGAGCGGGCGTTTCTGATCAAGGAATCTATCCATGAACAGTTCGGTCACATCTGGGATACGCTTGTGCACTTCGATGAGGAAATGACCTCTCTGACACTGGACAACACCATTGGTAAGAACTGAGAACTGGGTAATGATTGTGCTATGCTAACAGAGGGAAAGTCGGCCGAACAGATTTACCCCAATCGGTTCTCATAATGAAGGCTTATAAAGAGGATGATACGAGAATCAAAAAGTTCTGTGATGATTTCGAAACTGCAATTGTACACCCTCGAGTTCTTATCGGCCATGGCCCGCTAAAGTCTATTTCCGTTGAGGGGGTAAGTCGTTGCTTTACCAGAAGAATGGGATTATGGCTAATATGAATCTAGACCACCATACGAGCGTCTGAAGAAGTACCCGCAACGCTTGGAATAAGGGAACTCTTTCTTGACCTCGAAAAGATGATCCGCTTCCTTTCCGAAAACTTCCCGCCCGACTTCGCTCAGCCACTGTCTTCTGTATTAATGCCGAAGCTCACCACACTAATCAGAGAGACATGGCTTGACTCTGTAGTACCGGTGTCATTAGACCGTATGACCGATTTCCGGAATTCCATTGCTCTCGTTCACGAGTTTGCGGAGACCATCACTTCCTTGGGATGGGGCGGGGCAGATAATCTCAACGATTGGGTTGAAAGTTCTCCGCGATTATGGGTTGCAAAGCGCAGGGAGACAGCGCTGGATTCTACAAGGAGGCAGCTATCGAAGGGCATTGGACGTACCAAAGGGGTTGAACGAACAGAAACTCAAACCATCACCGAATTCATTGACGAAGAGCTGCATGGGGAGGCTGCAAACGAGGGCAAGGAGACAGTTAAACGTGAGGATGACTGGGATGTTGAGTGGTCGGATGACGAGGACAAGGGCAATGAAGACAGCGCTACAGGAGGCGACAAAGGCAAGGCCAAGGAAAAGAATACCGGCGGAGGCAGCGACAGTGAAGGAAATACAAGATCTTCATCGAGCCTTGGAAGAGATTCTCCTAAAGAAAACAACTGGACTGCTGGAGTTTTGAAAGAAACAGCCCCTGATGACGATGGTGGGGCCGATGCCTGGGGGTGGGGCGATGATGACAATGAAGAAGCACCTGTAGAAGCACCTGCGGAAACCGAGGAGGAGCCAGCTCCAGTACCCGAGAAACCCGAGATATCGGAACCTGAGGCGAGAAGGGAGGTGCAGCGAGAGGTAACCTTGACCGAAAAGTACACGGTATCGTCTATGCCGGAGCCAGTGTTCGATACCATCAGGCACATCATAGAAGATGCAGTGACGCTGACGCGCGAGAAGTAAGTTGGAAAAATCACATCTTCAGTCATAATACTAACGGTATGTAGCCATGATACCAATCGTGACAGCGCAGCAGCTGTTGGACTATTTGGCCTACCAACTCTAGTCTTAGCCATGTACCGCGCTTCTGCACCTGTTTACTATAACCTCGCCCCTGGCGCGAACATGTCAGTTTTTCCAATCCCTAATCCCTCATCCACCAACTAACACCCCCAGGTACTGCTACAACGACGCCATGCACCTCTCCGACCTCCTCAAAGACTTCTCCGCCACCTGGTCCCAACGCACCGACCTCGGCCCTCGCGCAAAAGGCAAAGTCCGCCTCGACGGCGAAGTCCAATCCCTCCTGAAATTTAGCCGCGCCGCCTACGGCCGCGAAATGAGCACCCAACGCACCATCATCACAGACCTCCTCGGCGGCGCGCAGAGCTTCCTCAACCAGGGCGATGATGCCACCACCGACCAAGTCGCCGTCGAGTCCGTCGTCGCGCACATCTGTGCCCTCGCTAAGGAGTGGCGCACTATTCTCTCCGAGTCCGCGTGGTCACAGGCTGTCGGCGCGCTGCTGTCTACCGTCGCGCGAAAGATGATTCGTGATGTCACTGATCTCACCGTCCTGGGCGCCGACGAGGCGTTCCGCGTCGCATCGCTGATCGCGCTAGTGACCAAGCTGGACGACCTCTTCACTCAAGAGGGCGCAGATGAGGACCCGGAGAACCCGCCTGTGCCGACGACATCGAACTACGCTGCGTTCTGGCTTAAGCTGCACTTCCTGAGCGAGGTGTTACAGAGTAACTTGCGGGACCTGATGTTCCTGTGGTCGAAGAGCGATTTGAGTCTTTATTTTGGGGCGGAGGAGGTGGTGGATTTGATTGAGCTGAGCTTTGAGACGAATCGTCGGACGAAGGAGGCGATTGCTGAGATTAGAAGTGAGCCATTTCCGAGGGGGGTGGCTCCGGAGGAGATGTAAAAAGGTGGGGGAGGTTGGGAAGGGGGTTGGTAGGATGGTATGAGCTATGCATATATGATACCCCTTAAACACTTATTCTCTGGACTGGAATCGTGCCTGCTGTGTGTACTATCAGGTGCGATATTCTGACACAGTATTTCAATTCGTTCATCCGACTTCTTATTATGAGATCCTATTAACTTAAATTGCCATGCTAGTTACTAAGAAATGGAGTTAAAGGGAGAGATCCCGTAAACTTAAATTGCTGCCAGAAACTCTCATAGGCTTATTCGTAGCATGAGCAACTGTAAACATTGCCGTTGCGCATATTCACTCACGAGGTTTTAAGCACAAGCACTGTAAACGCTACCGTTATACACAGTTAATATAAACGCCATTACGATACATAGTTATTACTATAAGCGCTGCTGTTACGCACAGTTTACTTATGAGACCTTTAGGCAGTATAATGACTATAAACGCTGCTGTTGTCCACAGTCGCTCATGAGGATTTAGGTGGCACAAGTATGCTTCACGAGTAACCAACCCTAAAAGCACAGATCCCATAAATAAAAGAAATGACTGCAAGAGCGACAATAACTATTACAATTACCTACCATGCGCTCGTATATGACGCACAGCGTCTGTTGTTTTCCCACCCCTAGCACAGTGTCTGTCAGAGAAAAAAAAACGCAAAAAAAAATATTGAACGACGTGGGCAGGATTTGAACCTACGCGGCCGAAACCATATGATATCGCATTGAAACATTCGAGTCATACCCATTAACCACTCTGGCACCACGCCTTGTTTTTTGTTGAAGGGAGCGGCCTACGAGACATAATATACCCCATACACTATTCCTGTGATGTTGTGTAAGATATCGTCGTGGAACCATGATATGAGAAATTTTATATTACTAGTTTAATTGTGTCGGTCGCTCCTTCCTAATTCTTTTTGATGTGGTGTCGGATTATTAAGAAGGTGCGACCGGTTCTTGTACTGTACGTACCGAAGACAACGTGGAAGCTAAAATAAATCATTGCTCTAATTCTTATAGACCAGGAAGCAAACCCAAAATCGCCCGTTAAGGCACTAACCCCACATAAACACCTTACACTGATCAAAACACACCCTCCCCAAGACCAGAAAAACACCTACTCATCCTCCCCCTCAATCATCATCCCCCTCGCATTCGGATTCCCCAACAAATTCCTCCCCCTCGGCACCCTAACATCCTTAACCCCAAAGCACCCAAACACCTTCAAATTCCTCACCCTCGGACAGCTCCGCCACAGACACCCAACCACAAAATCATCCATATCCCCACAGAAACTCGCATCCACCGTCTCGAGCTCCGGATACGTCTTCCCCTCCCCAAACGCACGCTCAAACGCCGCCCTCTCAATATGGCGACAGGAGAGTATATTCAGCGACCCCAGATGCCGACCCGAGTGCGCCATCAGCGCCTCGAAGCCGGCGGAGCACAGCCCCACGCGGTCGGGGTTGTCGAGCGTGAGACTGTCGACGTGGCGGCACTCCCCTAGATCGACGATGCGCAGGGCGGGGTTGCGCCAGTGCGTGAAGAGCGCGGCGAAGGCGGCGTCGGTGAAGGTCTCGTTGCGCTTGAGGCGGAGTTTGGAGAGGGAGGTGCAATGGGTGTGGATTGCGTTGAGGAGGGAGTCGTCGAGGTGGGGGATGCCGACTAGAGAGAGGGTTTGGAGGTTGGCGCCGAGGTGGGTGATGATTTCAACGTAGGGTTCTGTGATGGTGGGTTTGTAGATTTCGAGAGAAAGGTGCTGGAGGTGTTTGAGAGATGCGATGTGGTAGAGGCCTGCGCTGGTGACCTTTTGGTTGTGGCAGATCTTGAGGCGGGTGAGGTTGGGGCAGAGGTCTTTGATGGATCTCATGGCTTCG